TTTGCAGTGCTCCTTGTGATATGGACGGACCTGAAGATTGCTCCATCGCTAGAGGACTGATTTCAAAGCCTACTCTGTATTGACGTAAATCCAAATATCTATGGAATAATGAAATGGCTTTCTTCAGGATTTTCAGCAAACCCTCAAAAGAATAGCGTTTTTTATCGCCCAAAGGAAACAGCCAACTTCTCTTGGGTGGAGTTCTATGCTGGTCAAGCTGAAGCTACAAGGATGTTCAATTATGGGGGATTTCGAACGGCTAAGCTTGACCTGGTGTACATGAAATCACGTGATGCAGCACATCAGAATCCGATGGATTTGACATCAGATGCTGGGATGGGGTGACTAGATCGCAATCCTTAGTTCTAACGTTTTGGAATTTAGTCGAAACAACAAACACAGTTCAAACATATGGTTGCAAGTTATGAGAGGAACACATGTTGTGGGTACATATGTCCAAAATGTTATTGTATCATATTTGGGGTACATTTGATGGTTCATATCTGTTTTAATTCAACTAGCCTTCATGTCAAGAAAAATCCCATTGTGTTTCCTCTGCTCGAGCTTAGGACGGCCATAGCTACAGTGCTACGAGGCAATTTCGAGGAAGGGTGGCTGTGTCACTTTGGGCTGAAGTGCTCGTCATTTACAACAGTGAATGTTGGAACTTCCAATCGGTCACCATGCTCGGGATTTGGTAACACTTCCTACCGTTCAGTGAGGGAAGCTAATTTGTTGGCTTCACGGATTCTTGAACTAAACAAAATCAGCTGATTATGAATAGGCTGCAGGTTCAAAGGAAAAACAACATAGCTTTGACCACAATTAACCACAATGGGGTTACTTGGTAATGTTTTTTCCCTTGTGGATTTATTTGCTGATAGCTTCCATTGCTGCATTTCAAAGACCAAGGACTATACTACTGATGATGCTTGTGGTATGTCTTAATGGTTGCTTCCTGGTAGAGCAGCCCTTTGGGTCGTTGTTCGAATATTATCCAAGATGGAGAGATTTCATGCTGGTTCTGCGTCACTTTGGTGGACCCCATACCGTTGCTTATCTCAACCTCTTCCTGCTCTATCCCCTCCAGAGAAAGCAATGCTGACAAGTTGCATCATCAAAGCATAGCCCAAAAGAAGTAGAAATCATAGTAGGTTCCAACCTGGGAGATGTCCAAGGTCTTGAGGTAATTGTGGACACCAACCAAAAATCGAAGAACTATAAACTATGAAACCTTAACCATGAAAGTGTTCAGATCTTATCCTTTAGTTGTGCTATCAAATTATGTTTTAATATTGTATATGCTATACATTCTGTTTGAAGAAAACAAATACTATCTCCAGGGGCCCTGCTATTGCTGAGGTTCACCGTGGTACTTGGTATATGTTGCATTACGGTGGACCTACACCGAAGCGGCACATAGCTTTTGCAAACAGCATTCATGTCGCCTCTCTATGGGCTGGGAAGTTGAAGAATTGGGCAAAGACAAAGGCTAAGCTCAAGACACAGGGGAAGGCAGTGGAACTCGTAGACAAATACACGGATGGGGCAGGTAAAAGAAGGTGGAAAGGCAACAAGGCTCTACGTGGCAGTGAGTCAGGTACTTAGTTGTATGGAAACATTGCTCATCATTGCATTTTTTGTTCTCTAACCTAAATATCAACTTACATATCTTAGATTCACACTTGCACTCTTATTGTACAAGTTCTGTATCAAATAACCTCCATATTATTATCACAGAAAAGGTCATTGCCCTGTGGAATCACAAATGCAGCGGTAGACGACTATTGAATACTTTGGTTGTATTCTTATCAATGGATTACCTTCCCATTATGGATTTTACTTTTCTTTTTGTTCAACAATTGGTTTGACAGTGAGCAGGTAAAGGTTGAAGTTTGGGTCTGCATGGTCCATATCCCATTATATCCCTACTGCTCAGGAATTATCCACCAAAATTTGGATTGCGGCTGGTCGGCTTGTGGAAACGCATGGCCACTGAGAAGCGGGGAATGCCGCCTCTTCCGAACCAATTGCCTTCAGCTGAGGCTACTTTCAGTAGTCTTACGTTTGACGACTTGTGGACTGAAGCCAGAATGGATTCAGTCTGTCATTGGCTGAGGGGGGGAACATCCCTAAAGATACCTGCTTCATTTTATGACCTTTTGCCCAGGAAGTTATGATCCCTGACCACAAGTCTATAGGTTGCCAATACGAAGTTAGCACTTCAAGATATAAGTTTTTATCATCTGTGTTCATTTATGTTCAAAATAACCCGTAATTCACCGTAATTATGAAAAAAACCTGGTTTTTCCCGTAAAATACCCATAATGAGGAAAAAAACATATGTTTTTTTCCAGTTTTACCCCGTAATTTTTACCCATAATTTGGCACCCGTAATTTTCCGTAAAATACCCATAAAATTCAGTAATTTACCCATAAAATATTATGGTTATTTTCAAAAAAAACCAGTTTTTTTTAAAGCTTTTTTATGTTCACTTTATGTTGATTCATGTTCGTTTTTTTTCGAATCTGGCAACCACTTTGGATATGTGGATGGCATTTGCAGCCAAATTTCAGGGATTGCTTTACACAATTAGAATTTGGTTCGTATCAATATATGCGAATCGCAATTGAACAACAATTAGCGATGATTTGCAGCATGAAATGGGAGAAAAAGAACAACACAAACCATACACTGAGGTGTCTTTATGCTCATTGAATTGGTGTCACAAATGTTTCCAACAACAATTTCTTATTTTCAGTGTTGCATACCATAGGATTTTGGGCTCCAAACGACGCTTTCTTGAGAGACAACATGTCGCTTGAGCGGGCTGGGTCGGGGGCGACCATGCTATCCAGAGCTTGGTCTACTTCGGATTTGGGAAGAGGTCTTACACACATCCTAACCGATGGAAAGAATGAACTTCCTGACGATTTGGCTCAACTGGAGGCCTTTTGGGCGGGTTGGCTATAGGTGAGCTGTCATCCTCACACCTTGTTTTGCTGGTGTTGCTTCTATTTGGACTTGGAAACTATGCTAGTAGATGTCAAAAGTTAAAGTAAAATCAAAACAGTACCTCTCCACATAGTTCCTGGCTATTGGTCGGCAGGAGCTGGAAAAGATGATTGCTGACATCGAAGCAGTAGATCAAGGAGTCAGGGACTCAACGCATCCTACAGTTACGGGTTATATCTTATATCGTTGGCAAGTTTGAAAATTATATAATGTTCTATCAGGATCTATTTGATATCTTTTTACACATAATTTTCAACTATATTCCACTATATACATTCCAAAACTTACACCCTATTAGAAGTTGAAATCTTGAATCACCCCATTGTTCATTGCTAGTGAGCGACCAGTCCACATATCGATTTTGTTGGGATGCCACTGTATGCCACCTCCAACAGCTGCCAACATACGGAATTCACCAAGCAGCGCTGGGCCCACCCTGTGCTCAGGAAGTTGCCTTGGCTGAGCTCATGAACGTGAACACAGTGGTTTCTAGTTTGCAAGACCTGAACTGTATGTGGATGATTTAAGAATCAAACAGTGTGAGCATGCAAATAACATGGGGGTCTTTAATACAAATCAAGATCTACTTGCAGTACAAACCTTGAGGAGCGTTAAGTCACACATGCTCTAACTAATGCTCTCACAAGATGCACCGGTTGTTTTTGTTAACTTTAGGTTAGGAATATATATTATATCTTTCAACCAGAGTGTGTTGATAATTAACATTGTTTCCCGCTTAAGGCTACACCTCAGCGTCGTGAAGACCCTGGTCTACCAAATGTTGCAGAACCTGAGCGACATGATACTGTGCCTGCAAGTGATGAGGATGTCAAGGGTTCAGCGGCAGGTTCACCCTCAGGTGACTCTACACTTAGAGTTGCTTCGCCACCATCCCCTGCTTCCTCGTTGCCACCGTCGGCATCTAGAGTGGGTGAAAGTGATGTCCTTTGATTCAATCATATTTTTTTGGTTCAACCCCGTCAGGATTTAGACAATACATCGGCTTAAATCACCAGCGTTTCAGAAAACATATTTTGTCTTTCCATGTCTTTCCCAAAAATAAACGATGTGCAATTTCTCAACATAATTCACCATATACAACTGCCTTGACAACAGCTGTGTTTGTCAACCTGAGGTGATGAACCGCATCGTGACGATGTGGCAATCTGGCACTATCGATGCCAATGTTGCTATGCAGCTCTTGGGTCAGGGGTTATCACCCAATGAGTCGCCCCCGGTGGATGGGGGTAAGGGGGCCACCCCTGCAGGAGACAATGGTTTGCCCCAGAAGAGACCAGCTGATAGCATCACCCCGTCAGTTGCCCCCGCAGACTTGGATGATGTACTTGAACAGGCCAAAAAAGCCAAGATGGAATCTTGATTAGTATAAGTTCCACGTGTTTTCATTTGTCAAAACTGTTATTATGTTATTATTATATGCTAAGTTCCCAAAAGTTAGGTTATCTTACCATCACCTGAGATGCTCCCAAACACGGCTACTTAGGAAGAAAATGCACTGAAAGCGAAGCTTCGCAGGTTATGCGAAATCAAAGCCAATGGAAAATGTAATGTGCCAGATTGGCTTCACCAGCAGTGGAAACACGGGGATCACATGGCCATGGCGCTGCAATTTCAGCGGTGCAATTTCGACAAGGAGTGTGTTGTTTTTCTCTCCGTAAGCCAAGTTGCAATGACACCATGCTACCAGTTGTCGTAGCAAGATCCAGTCCAATCAGGATATTGATCAGCCAGTCAAAGTTGATCCTTGCAGGACGCTTTCATCAAATACACCGAGAAAACGACGACAAAGAAAGACACGACCACCAACGATTTGGAATTTGGGTGGTACTCCAAGGATGACATGGTGAAGGTTCTCAAATGGAATACGATTCTTCCATCAGAAATATTTTTTTGTACTACACCTTCGGTAGCATATGTTTTGATATGTTGAACTAAAAAACAAGAACCCACGAACTAAGACATTGCCAAGAGTTCCCACTTACCACTTGTTTCCAATACCTATTTTTTTTGTCTGGAGCCTTCCAAATTCAAATCCCAGGAAGAAAATTGAAGGAGCAATCAAGTGTTGCGAGAGAGATCCCAAGAACCTGATCAGGAATGGGTGGGTTACCAAAATAGATCATATTATGTTTCAATGTAGTTGACCACAAACAATCTCACAGCCCGTTTGTTTACTTTTTGTTTTCTATTATATATACCCTGTAGGAGGTGCAAATATGGTGGCGAAGATGAATACCATGTTGATGTGCGTGAGACGGGAAAACACAAGCAATCCAATGAAAATGCTGAGTCCACAGTGGAGCGAACCCAGGACCGCCCCTGCTCCAGCCATGTAGCAGTAAGTATCCAAGAGTCTTGATGACATACCCCAAAAAAGTTCGTGAAATCAGCAGTCCACCATATCCGCATCTCACCTGCCAGGGCGACGACAAGAGCGAGCTGCAGAGCGTCACTCTTGAACGACTTGATCTTCAAGCAGCCCGCAATGCAGCTGCCACCAGTGCTCCAGTGGTGGAAGCTTCTGAGGCAAGACTCACCATATCTACTATAAAAAAGATAATGGAACATGATATTGGTAAGATTTCACTTGTCAAAATAAATTATATTGATGTTACCTGGTATCAATCTATGTTGCGTATTTGGAGCCCAATGCCAGCTGTATTGCAAAACAATCCAAACATATTGATTCGAACATTTTAGATTGAAAGATCAAAATCATGATCAAGCATGTCAGGCATGCCGGGCCAAAGAAGTCTTTCGCAAGTTTGTGGATTCGGTTCTTCAAAAAAGTGCCCGAGTCAGATCCTTGACGGTGGACTTGAAAAAAAACTACTATGAAGACGAAACAGCAATGAAGATACTTAGCTACCATCATAGTTCTGATTGCTTTGCATCTTTTTATTTTTTTTTGTAGGATGCCCGAACTCGATTCTCACCCAGCCTTGATGGCATGGACCATTCTGATCGACTAAGGGCTGTAGAGGCCTTGGAAGGCAACTTGAAGACTCTCGGTCAGGAGTACAATTCGCTCTCAGATCACATGGCAAAGGGTGAGCAAGAGGACTTTTCGCCCGAGTGGCTAGACGTCCAAGATATACATTGTATCATATAGTATATATGTTAAGATGAGTTCAACTATGTTTGCCATCAATCTTTCTGTTCGGGAGCATAGCGACACTTGTTGCTTAAATTTTGGTTGCTATGTTGATAATTTTGAAATGTAAACAATTTTCGCATTTGAATCCCAGGTGGTCCGTCCAGTCTGAGAAAGTCATGAAAGCTTCGACCTTCGTGTGCCTTTTCCTGATTTAGGGCGGTATATTCATTTCTTGGGTAAAAGGTTCTCTATTGGATAATCCCGAGGGCTGATGAAAGTTTATAAGCTCGGTATTCTTCTGATTTGACACCGCTTTTCCCAAGGTGCACCAGAGTGTCCCAGAACGAAGCCAAGGTTCGGCCTTTGACTTAGAGCTTCCGAAGTCAGCAGTCAGCGCAGATTAATGCAAATCCTTGGAAGCAGCACGTGTGTTAATGTAAAGAACCTTTGCTTGACCCTATGTCTCATTCTGTGTGCGTGTGTGTGCATAACACCTCGTTTGATGCCCTTACGAACTAAAAATCAACTGAAATCATGTTCAATCATGTGTGAATTGGTTTTGTTTATTGAAAACAGTGTCGACCCTTAGGAACGCAAAGCGCCATTTCAAGAAGGTTCAGAAAGAGCCGAAGCAAGAGGAAGCTTCCTGATTTGGCCATTCCAGATGAATGGCTGGGGGGTTGCCAACCTAAACTTGGGTTTCTCTAAGTAGGAGTTGGTGTACAATTTCTAATTTGAACATACTTGTCGTGTCAATTCTACACGACAGCAATTTGCGATCTAGGATGTCATTTCCTGAGCTTGGCATTATGCGGCCAATGGATGAATTCTAAGATGTAGCATTTGTTTCTGTTGAACATTGTTGAACATAATTTGATTAGTGTTTGGTTTCGGTGCTGGGCATCAGGCTCCAAAACTTTGCCAACACGGCACCATTCATCTGCCTGATTCACATGGATTAAAAAGAAACATGCAGCTCTCAGATTGGCTGTGTTTTGCTGAAGCAGGAATCCAGCCGTAGAAAAAAAAAAATGCTTACTTGCCAAATCTTCAACCTCTTTCTTAACCTCCCCATTGCCACTTTGCCAACACGGCCATGCAATGCCAGGTGTCACTGGCGCATCTGCAAAGAGATTTGCAGCGAATGTTGGCGAGGGCGCCATGCGCTCAATTCCAACTGAAAGGTATTGAGAACCTAGTGAAAAATATCGAGCTGTATGATATACACAATTCAGAATCATCATGAATCCATACTACATAAATCTACATAATAATATATTTGAATTTTCCAAAACCGGGTCAAGTTCATGCTTGCACGTTTCAAATTTGGGAAGATGCATCTTGCTTGAACCCTATGTGTTTGGATCAAGGTACATCCTTCAGAAACAACACATAGTTTGGTGAGCTACATGTATTTTTTTGGTAACCTAATGATGATCAATATTATATATATTTACTCAGGTTTTTTATGGTTCGGAAGTTCGTGCCCTTGATCCCATGTCGACTCAAACTGCAAAAGTGCTTCTAGATCTACTCGCCTGGTACATGCCAGCCCCTTGTCAAAAAAAACACGCTGGTGATGGAATCCAAGAAGTATGTGGGCTACAGTAATTAGTCCAACTTCGATGGTGTGGTTAACTTTCTGAATCAAAAACATCTTGGACCATATGTTTGGCAACGGGCTTCTGACTTAGTCATGTGGACCCGGTGTCTCTGTAACTAAGGTAGTTCATTTTGGAGCTCCATGTTCAACATTTTCCAGACAGAAGCAAGGAGGAAAATATGTGGCCAACCGCGCCTTGGCCACATTATGAATTTAGGGCGGAAAACACCCTGATGCACATGTGCACAGTATATATAATATATATGTGAATATTTGTAATCTTGCACGCATAGTAATCCAAAATAAATTATCATACATGATCTATATTCCTGTGTGTGCTCTTTGTCTTCTTGGCTCCCCATTAGATGCTGCCATATGTAACCTTGGAACATGTTCACTCACATCAAGTTCAGAAATGATGGCCCATGTGGACTGATAAAAGAACTAACACTCTGGCAAATGCATCTTGAAGATACTGTTGACAGTCATTGGCAAGATCACGTCTGAAAGTCGGAGTGCTATGTTTTTCCTGCACCTGTTCAAGTTTCAAAATCATATGTTCCAAAGCTGCAGTCGGCCCTAGCTGTTGGTAAGTTAGCACTATGTAATTTTGCGCACAGGTGTGTGTCTGCGTGTGTGTGTGGGGGTGGGAATAGGCACTTAGTAGGCGGCGCTAGTTTTGTGCTGCTGAGGTTGTGCTGGGTGCGAGAACGTCCTGAGAGAAGATCCTACAGGAAATGAGTGGGACGGTGACGGTGAGCGTATTTTTTTTTGGCATTTAAGTGGTCGACAAAATTCAGCGGCATCCTTGGAAATGAAGAGTCGCAATGATTAGTCAGTGGTATGATGCTGTGCACATGGCTCATCAGAGCGCTGCGACAACATGAGGATCATAGCCTCATGTCTTATTTGCGGCAAGTACAGGATAGGTAAGAAATTCATTGCCATTTACGTAAGCTCGATGGGAATTGAAACAAAGCGCGCGCGGTCGCATCCATTTGATCACAGCAGGGTGGAATTGAGAATGAATATTGCCTTCAAATGCCAGCCCTTTTATTGTCAAATGTATACACTCAAAGGCTCATTTTTTTCAATCGCTTGCGCGTTCTGAGGCCACCTGCAAGAGCCAGATTTTGACAGCACAAGCTGTCAAAGACGACGTCGGAGATGTTGTGGCGACCCAAAAGGGAATCAATTTGTGGTCCAGGTGTTCGCTGTCAAATTCGGAAAGAGATGTTCACCGGGTTACCAAAAAACAAAAGACTACGTTAGATGTTCCAATCAGTCACGTGACAATAGAGGATGTCAAAGTCCCATGGATTTCACCACGTGACTGGTTGATCTGGATCATTAGAAAAGGATTGTGGCCCCGATTGGCAGGTGCCCCCCTCCACCAGCATGCAGTGGCTGGTGAAATTTGGTCCAACTTTTGGACTGAATACGAAAAAATTTGTCCAGACTTTGAGTTGTTCAGCCTGCCAGACATCGACCGTTCCAAGACCGCTGCATTTATGATCCATGGTGACGAAGGCAGGACACTGAAGCGCCACGGGCTCATGGTTACAAGCATACAGTCATGCTTGGGGCTTGGGTTTGATACCAAGCACCTTCGTCGACGGGATGATGGAAGGTGGCACATGAAAGTCAACTATAAGGGTCATTCCTTCACCCATCGCTTTGTGACTTCAACTATGCCAAAAACTGTGTATGAGAGCAACCCGGCTTTCTTCCACAAGATGATGGATAAGTTGGCATTGTCATTGAGAAGCCTTTTGTTGGAGGGTGTTGTGGATCCGTTGACTGGTGACACACTTAGGGTAGCAATCATAGCAGTGAAGGGCGATGCCCCATACTTGGCAAAAATGGGCAAGTTTTACCGCAGCTACAACACCACCGTGAAGAGAGGATCTGCGCAAAGTGTCCCTAAGGGGGTCTGCCACCGATGCTTAGCAGGAACACCAGGCTTCCCTGCAGAGGAGATTGCAACAAATCTACCAAAGTGGTTGCAGACTCAAGGGATCCGTGTGCCATGGTTGTCTACACCAAGTGTAATCCAACATCTGGTCCACAGCAGAGCTGACCCTTCTACGTTTTTTCAAACTGACATTTGGCATGTGGTTCATCTTGGGTTTGGTCGATCCTGGGTAGCATCTGTGGTACACTTGCTGCTACATGTCATCAATCAACCCAATCTGGATGCAAAATGGTCTTTTTTGACAGAAGATTACCGAACTTGGTGCAGGAGAAACAAAAAGCAAATGCACATCAGTGCCATCACTCCATATCTCATGAGCTATGGAGACAAAACGGGAACCATGGGCCAATTTCACAAAGGCGCACTTACAACAAATTTGATGCTATGGCTTGCGGAAATCATTGGCAAATTGCCATGTGACACCAGAAGATTGTTGCCAGAATGCCAGGAGGCGACATGTTGCATGAACAATTTGTTTGAATGCTTGTTCAGAGCGGACGCTTTTTTGAGCAAAGAAGAGTGCATTTATGTATCTGCAAAAGGCCTTCGGTTTCTTCAAGTTTATTCAAAGATGGCGAGAGCACAATTCCAGGAAGGTTGTCCTTGGAATTTTCCTTTGTACCCTAAGCTTCATGCTTACCATGAGACAATCCTTCAGGTTCAACATGATGGACAACGTGTTGGTATGGCAATCAATCCTTTAATGTTCTCGTGCCAGGTCGACGAGGACACAGTGGGAAGAACTTCGCGCTTAAGTCGCCGCGTAAATATACGCTTGGTGATGACGAGAACGCTGCAACGGTACTTAATTTCAGCTCATAGTGCTTTTGTTCGTGCGGGCCTCTTGTTGTGATGGAAGCTGAAGGGCAATGCTGGGAAAAGAAAGGATTGTGTGACAGTGGGTGCATTGGGGTGATGTGTGCGAGAGATTATGTATGCAGCAATCCTGATTCATCAACTACCATGTGTATGGTCATGAATTCCAAGGCATCCAAAAACCTTCAAGTAAGGGGAAATATAGATTAATAACAAACCCTCTAAATTACAATATTCAAAAACCAGGTTTTTTTAGAATAACCTGGTTTTTTCCTTACGACCAAAAAATTGAAGGTTTTTGTTGCCTTAGGTATATATAATATAGTTGCATATCATGTTTTCTTGGTCTCTAGTTGATATGGAACATGGGACAGGATTGATTCGGTCACTCCATTTAAAGCGAATTTACTGTACCAGCCATGACGGGGCCATGCTGATCTTTATTCCCAACCAAATTGGAAGCCAGCTTGGATCTACCCGTGTAGCGTTTCCCCATAGAAGTTCGTCATGTCTTGCAACAAATCTCAAGGTGACATCATTTTGATGGGTTTTCGTGTCATATCCAGTTCTAATGGTAAATGTGGAATTGATTCGAATCATCCTAGCCCTTGCCATCTTGAATACTAATACAGTTTTGTTTTAAATTACTCGGCCATATGATAAGATTGGTTAAATCGGGTATAGTTCATTGTTGGTTCTGCTGTGCACTACATGTTCCATTTTTTGGTATTATCAAAGAATCAAGGGTGCCAAGAGCCCATGAAAGGCATGGCCATGGTATCAATGTGTGAATGTGAATGCAATGACGGGGATCATGCCATGGGGATGTCAAAAACAGATGCTGGGTGGTTTCATTTTTTTAAATTTACCTGTGATGATTATTTTCGGGTTTTCATAAATGGAGGTACCCCAATAGCTGGATGGTTTACAATGGAAAATCCGACTGGGGGTACCCCAATTTTAGGACACCTTCATATGGTCAAATGGGAGATGTAATTCATGAACCTTGGAATACTGTGACAAGCAAGCCTCGCTAGCTTGCTTTGGAGCACAGTTCGTGCTTCCGTTGGACTGAATAAAATGTTCTCACACATGTTCTAACTAGAAGCGGCTAGAATATCCGCCATGTCATTGGAATTAAACTGCCATCCCTTCTTTTTTTGAGTTGAACTTTCCATTCCATTCATAGCCATGTTCTGAAACACGGGATGTTCCTTGGCGCAGTTGAGTCCATGATGTATTCGTGCCCGGGTGATGGTTCCCAATTAGTGGTGGCAGATGTCCCCACCTTGGGTACAAGATGTTACAATCATGATTACGTCCACAAAAGACAATGAACCCATCATCATAGAATCATAGATCATTCGAGCAACAAGTCTCCAAGTGCTTTTCTTCGCTAACCATAGTTGTCATCCCTTTTAAAAAAACTGACTCACGACCATCTCCGAACGGATCGGCAGGAGGGAATCGAAGTTCCACAAGACGAACTCGCAGAGAAATATAGGAAGACTCTGGGTGAAGAGGGAGCTGTGCCAAAACACTGGGATTATTCTTGGGATATTCATCCACTTCCCCGGCCTGGTAAACGTTTACAAAAAACGATGTAAAATCACCATTTTTACTGGAAAAATCAACTATAAATGGCAATTTTCAATAGCTATGTTAGTTTATCATCCACTTAGATGTCCCAATTTTTTTCCTGATTGTTCGTCCCCAGAGCCTACGAAAATAGGTCAGCCCCCCCGAAAAAGGTGGGTAAGCCAACATACGATCGAGGCATATCGAGGTAACATGCAGATGTTTAGGGTACAACATGATGCACCCCAGTCCTTGGCTGAAGATCGGGAACCCCAGCCCGTGCCCTGCGCAAGAAGCTTCTTCTTCCAAACACGACCAGCTCAGAACAGCCTTACATTTGGAGCGGTCCGAAGATGGAGTCCCAATCTATGACGCTTTTCTTTTGGGAAGATGATCATCTGATAAACCATTGCATTTTGGGATATCATATTGGCCCAGGGGTGCCTCAGATGTTTCAGACCAACTTCTGCTCTCACCACGCAATCATTTCCAGGCTTCCCGGTGTCATCATTGCCATGGCAACTGGAAATCCTTGAACATCATTGAAAATGGAACTTTTAACCCAAAAATCACTGAACTTTTTTGTTTTTTTCCAGCAAACCATCAATGATGACACAAAGGATGCATTTTTTAAAATACAGTTATGATTATATATATACGTATATACAATTATACACATAATATGCATCCCATCATATTCTTATTTCATCCCATGAAATGCCATGAAATTCCATGACTTGCCATCTAAGGATCATTGACATGAAGCTGGGTGTGGAGCCGAGCGACAGCAATGGCCATGGCCAAAAAAAGGCCATGGCCATGGCAATGAGGATTTTTCTATGGAAAACCATGAGATTTCGGTTGGATTCTTTTTCAGAGGAGTGATGATAGTGATGGATGATGTGTTTTTGGATCAATACCAAAGTGGATGATATGAATATCCATAGCCATCAAACTGTCAGGGGATCGACCTGTGATCGCCTGTACATTGGTGAAGTTGGTGAGCTGGTGGTTATGACTTAGATTAGGTGCAGGTATTGACTATAAATTTTAGGGAGGGGACTGTTGTGGCCGCCTCTTTTTTAACTATTGTTGTCAAGTTTCTAATTAACCATGAACTATTTCACTGGGAAACCTACACAAAAAAGTCATGAATAACTCTTGAACAATTGTTTAGCCAAATGTCTTGCAATTTTATTTGGTAAGTTCCAGGCAGTCTTGACAAATGTCATGGGACACATATGAAATTATTTCGTGAGAAACATTATTTGCAGCCTTTACCAAGTTTTGAAAAGGATCTGAAACTTTAGCAGCAATGGCCCTCAGGTTCATTTCATCAAAGTATCTTTGGTTCAGTTAGTGGTCTGCCTAAAAGGTCTTGCATGTGTATATATACTTTTTCTTTCTAAGTTGTCATCCTTGAAAATCACAAATTTTCTTGCAGCAGCAGTTCAAAATCTCAAGCTTTCAGCTTTCCAGGCATGTCAAAATCATTCAAAATCTGTAGATTTTTGGTATGCAGTTTATATGCAGTTTATATGTAGTTTATATGCAGTTTATATGCAGTTTTCAAAACTGCATATAAACTACATGTAGTTTGGTCAAAACTGCATATAAACTACATGTAGTTTTGAAACTGCATATAAACTGCATATAAACTGCATATAAACTGCATATAAACTTCATATAAAATTTATATGAAAATTCAAGGGCTGACATGTGGTTTTTAAGGATTTTGATTATACATTTGGACTTGATTCCACTGATTCCCAAACCTTTGGACACCAATATGGACATATAAAATTCATAGTGTGATGCAATCAAAACTGGCAATGCCAGCAACTTGTTTCCTTTCCCAAAACTTTGAAACAATTGCAAGTGCAAAGGCCCAGTGCACTTGTTTACAAAAATGATTTGAAGAATCATAAAAGGTTATTTCTGTTCACAAGTAAGTAAGCATCTCTAAAGATCCAAGATCATCATATGTAAATCTCAAGTAAAGAGGTTTCAAGGAACCATAAAAGATTCTTTTGGCTCACAAGGAAACATCTGTACAGGCCCAGGATCATCCCCTACACATGTAAATCTCAAGTAAAGATGCTCTAATATACCACAAAAATCCAAGAACATCACATGTAAATCTCAAGTAAGGATGTTTTAGGCAGGACAATACAAGTTTCTGTTTGTGTTCACAAGTAAACATCTGTACAGGTCCAAGAACATCACATGTAAATCTCAAGTCAAGAGGTTTTAAACAAAACAATAAACTTCTTTGTATTCACAAGTAAGCATTTGTACAGATCCAAGAGCATCACATGTAAATCTCAAGTAAGAATCTTTGGAGGAAACTGTCAGTGAACATATAGAGATTGAAGTGCTAGCTACTATTGGAAAAATGTATATGGAAAATCCAAAACTGTTTCAAGTATCCCCAGGTTTTTGCCTGCAACAAAGAAGCATGTTTCAAATGTTATGGATGCTTGGTCCCAAAATGGTAAAAAGACAATGATATGATCTTTACATGAACCTGCGCCTGGCATAAAGTACTCAGGCTTTGTTTGGAGGGTCACTTGATGGATCCTTAATTGAAGAAACTTCTATGTGCCAATCTTTACTTGTGGATTCAAACAATATGGTATATATTTGATGGATCCTTACTTGAGGAAACTTCCATGTGCTAATGCTTACTTGTGGATTCAAACGACATGGCCTATATTTGATGGATGAGCAGGGAATATAGAAAATTAGCTAACCACATGTTGGAAATTAGTAGTTAAATAGATCTGATGATCTTAGATTAACTTGCTTCAGTAGTCCAGACACAGAGAGAGCGGCGCTAAAAGCCAATAAAGGCAGATGACCAGAGAATATAGAAAATTAGCCAACCACATGTTAGTACTTAAATGTTAAATAGATCTGATGATCGTAGATTAGCTTGGATTAATCTGGATTAATCTGGATTAATCTGGGACCAAAAAAACCAAAAAAACAAAAAAAACAAAAAAACCAAAAAAACCAATGTTTTGGAGACTAGTCTAAAGATAGCCCTGATCCAAGTAGTCCTGAAAACATTGTTTTTTTTGTTTTTTTTTTGTTTTTTTTGTTTTTTTTGGTCCCAGATTAATCCAGATTAATCCTTGGGGCTTGAACAGATATCAACACACAAGTTATCGGAAGGGAATGTTGTGACACCCAAATCTCACAAGAACACAAGTTATCGGAAGGGAATGTTGTGACACCCAAATCTCACAAGAAGTATTCTTTATACATATTAAGTGTGAGATTTGGGCGGCCACAACAGTCCTTTCTGAAATTTTAGTATTTTATTATAGTCATTTATACATGTGGGCCTTCTTAAAATGAATACTCACACGGTCTAATTTTGGATGATTTTGGGGTACCCCTGCTTGGGGAACCCACACCGCAGCCTCAGGTCATGGTCGTACGAAGGGACTCCGACCACGGAATGAAGAGCCACCGCCGTACGGAGCCTCTGAGTTTCAGCGAGTGTTTTCATGTGTTTTCCACTTTTGCCATGCTGTTGGCAGTTTGTTGAAACCATTTCTTTTTTTTTGGGGGAGGGGTAGTTTTTTTTTTTTTAACCCTCTGGTGAACTAACATAGCAATGGAAAATCACCATTTTTCATGGGAAAATCCACTATAAATGGCCATTTTCCATTGCTATGTTAGTTCACCAGAGGGTAATCATGACTTCACGAAAGGATCCCAAGAGATGCTATTGTGTCGATAGCCTGCTGAGTGAAAAGCCATTGCATTGGGGAGCGGGGTAGAGTGCCAGCTTCGAAGTATGGTCACCCAAGGGCACCCGGAGCCAGGTAAACCATGGTAAACCGAGTAATAAACTTCTTATTGGGAGTAGTTTATTATTGGGTTTACCACATTTCAATGCATACATTGACTGATGCTATGTAATGCAGTGTCCAGTATTATTCGATTCCTCAAAGAATAAAGGGTTTTGGAGTGCTCGACTGGAAAACCAAAGCTGCATGAAGAGTTTATCAATATCTCCTCCCTTGATAGCCGCACTGTTCAGATGAGCAGTGTTCAAAACCCCTGTTGGTTGATGAAGTTGATGATTTTTGGGGATTATCCTAGGCATAATAATCCAATCGGGGAATGTTAAGAATGTCTTCACGGTTCAGGTCCCCTGAGCCGCCGGTGACACAGCCACCTTCGCCCCAGCCGGTGGCCCACCAGCCCGCAGCCGCCCCAGCCGCCCCAGCTGCGCCTGCGGCGGCCGTGCCGCCCCCGCCCTACGCGCGCCGCCAGCGTCCCCCGCGCCGCACACGCCGGCGCGGCTCTCGGCAGCCTCACCGGCACCGGTGGGACGGATGCACAGTGGCCAGGTGCAGTGGAGGTTTATGGTGATTTTCGTGGGAAATCTATGGAATTTTCTTGGGACATCTATGGATATCTATGGGATTTTCATGGATTTTCTGGGATTTTTGTAGGAAAACTATGGGATTTTCTGGGGTTTTCTTGGAAAACCTATGAGATTTTCTGGCACTCAAAGTTCGTCAAGTGGGGTTTTCGGAAGATTTTTGAGTCCGTTCCGCTGGATTTTTCTTTTCTTCTCGTTTCCCATCATTTTCCCAGGTATTTTCTCCTGATTTTCCCATGTTTTTCTGGTTTTTGAACTTGGACCTTTACCAGGCGCAGCTGATTGGCTATGGCAGCTATTGTCCTTCCCCAAAGCCCTCTGCCAGGCCTGGCAAGAAAACCATGATTTTCTTTGGGGATGCGGATGTAGAAGTCCTGAAAAATGTGGTATTAGTCATGTATTAGTGGAATCCCGAGGTGGGAGAAGTAGCCGCAAATGAGCAAGGAATCATTTGGATTCTGGCAAGAATCCAAGTAGGTGTGTCTTAATATGGGGTTTTAATTTGGGTTTGCACCCAAATTGCTATTTGAACGGTGGACAGTCCGGTGGACCTATTTGATTCTAGTCAGTGGATTTTTCCGGTGGTATCTTGGAGCTCTGAGCTTGGAGACTGGCGCGCAAGGCAGCAAGGTCTTAGGTCCTAAGGTCCTGCTTGGTGAACGGCGTTCCAGGATGCCTCGGGATGCTTTTCGCCCGGTAATTTCCAGGTGTGCGTCCCTTTTTTTTTACAAGATGGGTGCGTCCCAAACATCGAGCATCACCAAAAAAAATGTGTCATCAATCATCATCAATCCATCAATACGGATTTACCCACTATACTATGGTTACTATGGATTCCCATCATTATGGGATGGATGACCATGTTTACATATGACTCATGATCTATATCATTTTAACATATTTTAACGCTTCAAAATGGATAGCCAAAGCCACTCATCGCCATTTGTCAAACTGTGGCACCGTTCTTCATCCGGCCAGGGCTGTAGAAGGAGTGCAAGGAGGTCGATGGTCCGGGCACATGTCAAGGGTCGCCTCCCAGGAGCAACTGAATCATTGTGGTTTACCTAGATTGTCCATCAGTATCATTGTTTCATGTAATTGTTGATGGATCAACAATGGGACCGCAGATCTTGGTCAGTTTTTCACAATTAAGATGAATTCGGAAATTAAAAAATCTTTAGTTGGTGTACCCTACTTTTTCTGACCCATACCCATAATGTACCCCCTGGTAATTTAACAGTTTGCTATTGAACATTGCCATTTACTTCGCTGAATTACCCATTAAACACGTTGATTTCCCATAGCTTTTGGTATGTTTACCAGTTGGTAAGTTTTTTTCCTGTAACTATGAAACACTGAAAACTTTGGGATTACAATGGGATGGTTGAACCAATCTATAGTTTACCAGCCGAACAAAAATCCATGGGATTTCTAACGCTAAACCTCGGTGGATTTCCCCCAGATGGCCGAAGAATTCATGGCCAGGCAGCACGCCTGGCTTGCCCGTCCCATCCCCGATTCCAATGAGGTGCCGGGAAAAAAACGTAGGAGTTGTTGTTGCTGGAGACTTTTCTGTTGTGAATATCTAGATAAGTCTCTATCAATAGTTCATAATAATATTTAATGGTTCTATCAAATATTAATGTCTATTGTGATATATGATGGTGATGATTGTGTTGGCTTTCGAGCATGAATGTCAGATGTCTTTGATACTTGCTTGTTTCAAGAAATGTGTGTCTGTGTGTGTTTTCCTCATGAGCTCCTCTTGCTGCAAGCGATCTCTGTGGTACCAAGGCTTTCTTCTGAGGTTATCCTTTTCTCATGAAGATCTACTGTTAATCTCCACAGAAAACTCGTGATAAAGGTATCGGATCTATGGCATGGATTTAGGGCATTTTTGGGATGGCTGTTCCCTGTAATCAGCCTCTGTCATTGGACGATTTCGTTTGGTATCTGAACTTTATGGGATAACCTCCAAATCTCATCGTTGATAAAATCATTTTAACAGATTTTCACCACTATTTGAAGCCATTTGGCCGTACAATAAGCATTTTCAAACACATCCATTTCTTGAATCTCTCGCACTTTTCCATCCATGCTAGTGGATGATCATCAGTTCCAGGCAGCAATGGACTCCGTCCAACCCTGTGCTGCTGGGTGCAGGAGCGCAATCTCTGTTTTGACGTAGAGGTATCAGGTATAACTGGTAAAACTGGTAGCTCCTAGAGATGGGCGTTTTACAGAGTGAGACCCTGGTTGCACCACAGATGATATGCAAATGGGTCATAACTTGAGGTGTGAAACACCCTGTTTCACCATGTTTTTTGGGGATCGGTTTTTGGGAAAACTTGACCCGAAAGCCACCACCAACTCGCTGGTTGCACCAGCTTCCACTGCCGTTTTAATGTTCTTCGCCGTATTTTTTCTCCACGTATTTGTGGGGTGGGGATCAGTACCTATTGTACCATATTGTTTTGGGATGAACATTGTAAGATTTACCCTCTGGTAACTAACAGTTTGCTATTGAACATGGCCCATTTATAGATGATTTACCGGTTTACCCATTAAACATGGTGATTTTCCATAGTTTTTTGTATGTTTACCAGGCCGGGTACATAGATTTACCAGCTATGAATTGATGCGAACAGAAGGCTACTGTGGTACGATGTGCGTGGCTTGAAGAAAAGCCATAGCCATGTGTTCCATGCGCAACATATCTCTCGCAATCAGAAATGACACTTGGAATTCCCAAATCTTCATCTTTGAAATTCTTCAACCGTTTTCCATTATCATGTTTGATTACCAGCAAGTGGCATATCATTTTCTGCCAAGTTGCAGGAACACCCACATCAATTACTACTCAGCAGGGGAACGTCAGAGGGCTGATGGTGTTATCTCTTGGGATGAACAGCAATTCTTGCCGGGCTGATTCAACGGTAAATAGGGAAACTCATGAGAAAAAAAGGAGCTTACATGCAAAGATGATGGGAGTTTCCAGATGTTCCAGAAAAATACACACTTTTATTCATTTACATCTATTTTCCAGATGTTCCAGTACATATAGGCACACATGTTTATTTACATATAACTATAATCCCATCACCCTAATATCAAACACCCTCCAGAAACCAGGCTTTACTGTAGGAGGGAAAAAAAATCAGATTTGGTCCAGGGGTGAAAAAAACTGGCTGGTAGAAGTTCTTGGATTAGAAAAGCCTGTTACTGACTGGTCACCCATCTAATCCTATAATTAATAATAATATATATATATGTATACATATACATGTAAATCCCATATGTATATATATATATTATGGATATATATGGATATTATATATATATAAACCAATTATATCACAGGGTTCTACCATGCTTATGGACGCCACTTCCACGTCCCCTGAGATTTCGGATACGCAACATTTTTCCACGGCTCAAAGCTTGGTAGTTCGAAGCTCGCCCCTGTGATCCTCGGGGATTGGATGATTGGATGTTGTTATTTTCACCCACCATCATTAAGCATTTCTGTCATTGCTATATGACTGAGCTATACCATCCAGCATCCAGCTATACCAGCTATGACTTAGGGTACTGTTTGTGTATGTTTTCACGGGTTTTGACCATGACCATATCATTTCTCCAAAAAAAAACCTCCGGGCGACTGCACTTGGCGAGCACCTGGCGCCCTCCCAAAGGGAGAGCTCTGCAAGGCCGCGGTTTGCTGAGGCCTTGCGTATCAGAAAGACGGCTAAGAAAGGTTTGCAAAGCCTATCCAGGGTACCATTATGATTCTGTGATTTGGTTCTGTGCTGTTTTTTTTTTGATTTGTTCATGATGATTTTGTTTTTTGATTTGTGCTATATATACATATATATATAGTTGATATAGTTGATAGTCCCATAGTCATAGTTTAAGATATTTCTTTTGCGATTTTTGTTCATGGCGATGTTCCGATTTTGCGCCGTTTGGCACCCTGGCAGACATGGGCCATGGCCTTGCGGACGTTGCCACCTGGCGAGATCCTTTTTTTGCGGTTGGTGTCATCTCTGGAAGATGGGAAATTGGTATTTTTTAAGCTGATTTTCCCATATTTTCTCACTGTTTTGGAGATATCCAAGCTGGCTGATGTGCAATTGTTGGATGCTATTCCAACTGTATCCAACTGTTCTTGTCAAGCAGCGAGGCTTTGTATTTTCATCGTTGTCAATGATGCCTGGAGTGAGGCGCGTCAGAAGCATATCAGCAGATATCAGCCCTGGAGATTCAGTATTTTTTGCGGGCACCAGGGTATACCAGGGGGATGTTGAAGGTAAACAGTGAGAGGATCAGCACGCATCAACGACGTACCTTTTTCCAACGAAGTGCTGTGGTGACATCCTGTGTCCTCCATAAAATGTTCGACGACGAGATTGCCCCAGGGTGCCCATGTCAAGTTGTGTACGGCTCACAACTGAGCCCCTAGAGACTTCGATCCCAATTTACCAATCAAAAGCCTTTTGCAGTTCCATTGGTAGCTCATTAGCAACGTCGCTTCGTTGCTGGTGAGGCTCGTGAACGATCACCTGCTATCTTACACCTGGAAGGTTGGCAGAACTTATGGTAAATCTCCAGTTTCAGCAGGAATACTCCAGGATTCGTTTGGAGTAGGGCTTAAAACAAGAATCGGTCTTGGGATAGGGACACTGCATGAAATTACAATGATATATACATATATATATATATATTAGAACAGGGGGTGGTGTATACATATGATATAATATATATGTATTATATAATGTATAAAGTATATATGATATAATATATATATATATGTATGATAATATATATATATACGATAATATGCATGTATGATATATAGATACATCATATGTTATATATATGATATATTTGCATGTATCTATATATATATACACTATATATATAGATACATGATATATATATATATACACACTTGATATATGTATGTATACACATGATGTATATATATATGATATAAATATCCATTATGATCCATTCATGTTAGGAAATCCGCCGTTTCAACAAAAACATCGTCTACGACTGGGGATTCTCCAGCCGTTACAGGCAACGACTGGGTGGCTGGATTCCACCGGCGACTATCAAGGCAGGGAAAAAAAGGTGCCATGGTTGGCTGGATTTCGCCATGGAAAAATGGTGATTTCATAGTCATAGTATGTCATAGTCAACTGAAACAGAAGACATCACCATTTTTCCATGGCGAAGAAAAAGCGAATATATAGATTATTTTAATGGTGAATCTATTTCTATAAATGGATTTCCACAAGAAAACTTTCACGGACTTTTTGCCATATAACTTCGATCCATTTTTTTTGATGGATTTTCAATGGGATTTCTATGGAATTTCCCGATTTCCCGCCGGCGCCGTAGGAGCTGCCACCAGCGGATCTTGCTGAAGCTTGGGCGGAGCGCCCGGGATTCGCGGCGCCTGGCAAGGAGGTTTCTGCAAGGGCTGAACTTGGGGTTTAGGATGGTGAAACACACATGAAAACCCATGACATACTGAGATTTAAGAAGGTTTAACAAGGTTAAATGAGGTTTAACCAAGGTTTCACAAGGTTTAGCCATCCAAAAACTGGACTTGAACCAAGAGCAATCGGGCTTTAGCCAGCAAACATCAGGGTATTTGTGGAAATCAGACGACTTTGTCCAACACTCAGTTTGAATCGTTCCATTTTCTGTCAATTTTTTGACATGTTTCTCTAATCCATCGTGGACCCAGCTGTCATGATGATGATGGTGATGATGATGATGATGATGATGATGATGTAGCACTAAACTCCGAACAGTCTCGCAAGTGACACTGTACAAACAAAATGCTGTCACTAGTAGGACTAGAGAGGAGTGGGGGCGTCCCATCATCGCGCCCCTTTGTTAAACAATCAGCAACAAATTGCCACGGAACGGTAGCGGAGTAACACACCCATAGGGATGCTACCCAGGCCGCCGCGCGAAGCGGTTCAAAAGGCCCGAGTGACAAAAAGCCTGTGCACACTATGGCACAGACCATCCACTGCATGCAGCCGCGCTAAGCGGTGCAAGAGGATGCAGTGAGCCTTCCCAAAAACAAAACTTAATTGCACACCCAATGCTAGCAATTCAAAAAATGGAAATGAGGCAAAGACAGCCCTATCACGTTGTCACCAATCCAGTCATCCGAACGGAAGGTGGCTCAGCGATCCCGGATATGACCTGCAAGCAGGGGCCGCACGTCCGGACGAGACCTCAGACTAGGAAGACAAATCGAAAACGAGGTCATCAACATTAACCTAACTTCCGGGAGACACACACACCGGCCAGAAACCAGGTGCCCTGCATCAACCCATCTCTTAAGAGACCAGGGTGTTTCAGAACTTGCAGACTCCGTTCGGTGGCGCCGACATGGCACGAGCTGGCCTAAGTCAGCTCGCTGGCCAGCTAGCATGCTTGACAAAATAAGCTGGCGCCTTTGCACCACTCATGTATTATACACTGTTAACTACCATGAGTGGCCCGCTGGGTCGCCCACCAGGAGGACTGTCGACATGACCCATCCAGCTGTCACGATGAAACATCATATGACGGTTCACAAAACCTGATATATGTATGATGAGATGTGATGAGGAATTTCTTGCCCAGTTCACCATGGATCGGTGGCTACTCCAGTCATCGACCCAACCACTTAGAAAAAAACCGTCCATGCCAGCTTATTTTTTTTTCGCTTGGTGGCTTAGATTGGTAGCTTTGGAAACATGAGATCAGAATTCTCATGCCATGATCCCCACCCTGCTGCACTGCGACGTGACTCTGTCAGAGGCTCTTTGAGGAAGTTGGCTCCGGTCTGGAGCAGGGAAGCTGGCACCATTTGTGGCTTGGCGGCGAAGCACCAAACTTTGCCACCGGTGTCATCAAACGTGGCAACTGGAAATTCCAGTTTTCCCATCTATAAATGTGGGATTTCCAGCAAACCAGAGGATATTAGGGTCAAGATTGGAAGGCATTGACCAACATGGATAGACCTTAACCGACCTTACAACGCCACTGACAGCATTCCAAATTGCCACTGAGGGCATTCCAAATTGCCATTCTCCTGAGTTCCAGGTCTGTCTGAAAATAGGCTATACATGGCTATACACCCAAAGAACTCTATATTTCCATGGGCAAAATGAATGAAAATGATCATTGTCCTATTTTGGGGTAGCCCATTTTTCGACAAAACCAGCGAAGACCATGGCGCTCCAAGGGCCCGTGTGGGCATTGACATTGCAGAGATACGCTGTGGGCAGGTGCGATTTCTGACTGGGTAAAACTTGGTGATTTTTTAGCCGAAAACTGGGGGAACATCAGAATCTATAGCTATAGTTCACCTTGTTTTTTGAGGGTTATCTAAGATTCGCCATGTCCACTCGGGTGCTTTCAGAATTTTCCTCCATATTTTGGGGGATGTAAACATCCTATGGCGAGGATGTGAACCAGACCATGGCTCTGATCAAAGAGAAGTTGGGCGATCAACTGGGTTTCGTTGAACTCGATGACCCTTGGTATCCCTTGGCAGAGCGCCTGGAGACATTGAGCGGCAGGGGTCCACAAGCCAACAAGTTGAATGTCGACAAACTACCGCTTGAGAAACCCCGGATTTACTTCGCTGTTGGGGGAGGTACCAGTGTAGCAGCAGATAGATTTGGGCTGGTATACCCCCAAGAAATAAACCAGGGTAAATCTGAACCCCGGGTTGACATTCGATGTGAAAATGTTCCTTCATCCTTTTTTTTGACCTCAGCCGAGGAAGAGATCTACATGCCTTTGCAAGCTGTTGTCGATCCCGTTTGGTCGCAGCTACGTGGCTGGAAGATCGTCCCCTGAAAACACAAGATTATTCCAGATCAACTTCACAATCAAAACCAGATACTCATCAACACTATTGCTCCAAAAACCAAACATGATATCCCCATAATATCATGATATCCTATGATATCGCCTTATTCTTGAGTTTATACCTTCGATTTTTCTTGGTCAAATGACCATTTTTACCCTGCCATCATCCTTCGCACGAAAAAATCAAGATTCCAATGATATGATCATGACCTGCCCATGAAACCATCTGAAATACCATGAAATCCCCTCCGAATCCCCGAGGCAATGGGGTCCACAGCGCGTGGGCTTCGAGAATGCCTGGACACAGCTGGAAGCATTGGAGGTCACGCCTAGTGAGGCCATTGGCATTCGGGATTCACCATGGTTTTGGTTTAAATACGTTAATGGAGTTAATAGAGTTAATAGAGTTAATAGAGTCAATAGAGTCAATAGCTAATAGATTTATAGTTATAGCATGTTATAGTTAATAATAGTTATAATGCTAGGATACTATCTTTAATAGTTAACAGATACTATAGTTATCGGGTTTTGATACTATTGAGGTTTCCTAATAGGTAATACTAAGATAGTAAATGCACTTGTCAAATAGTTGAATAGTAAATAGTAAATAAGAGTAAACGTTTTATAATTACTATCGTTATAGTTAATAGTATATGGCACTTTAATAGTGATTCTGTAAAGCATTGTTATAGTTCATGGTATATGCTTATAGACCATACTTATAATCAAAACTATGAAACAATAAGTGATGTACTAAGTGTAATACTTTCCATACTATTAGATAATTCTAATTATACAATGTACGGTTATTATATACGGTAATAGTTAGGGGCTACTCCCCAAATAGTGGTACGCTGTAACATTCATAGTCAGTAGTATAATAGTTTTAGTTCATAGTAAAAAAAATAGTAAACTGTGGTTTCTTAAACTGGAAGATCCGCAAAACCATAGGTTTCAATACTAAGTCATGGTCGAATGACTTGGATCATTTGGGAGTACCTCTTAGGAACCCCGGCTATATAATAGTTAAGACTAAATAGTTGATATATAATTACCAATAGTTAATAGCTAGTTATAATACATAGTCATGCATAGGTCATAGATGACACCGGGTCAGAACATAGCGGCATAGCGACGGTTGGAATTCCAGGGACTTCATTCACATATCCGGATGCATTACAATGAGCTAAGTACATCATTATTGACATGTGTCCAACAATATTAACCAATCATAACCAATCAATAACCAATCATATTCAGTCATAACCAGTCATAACCAGTCATAGATGATAGTGCATTTTTTTCTGAATCATCACCAGTCATTTTGCCTAATGATAAATGGTAGACAAACACACTACTACTACAGACGTGTCACACGGATTTTTTTCCTGGTCATCCATGGCAGCTTGGTGGTGTATCAGCATTTTCGGGTTGGGCCCAACGACGACGAAAAAGGCGCAATAGTAGGGGGTGGCCCATTTTAATCATAGTTCTTTAAACAATCGCCAAATTAAGATAGAGGTTAGTAAGACCCAATTCTATAATAGTATTTGTGATCAACAGCTTGATATTCTATTTGGGTGTGTCTGAACATCAATTATATCCTCAGTTACAAGCATTTATTGGGGAACATCATGATAAAGCAGCGGATTTGGGGGAACCTATTTTCAGAGAAATCCAGATGGATGGATTTGTCTGAATGGACATAGAAATCCAGATTTGACCAACAAGTATGGATTTTGACCAAACATGTGGTTTTGAATTAAACATGCGGATCTCACCAAGTGTGGACTTGAGCTGACAGGGATTTTGCCAACACATGGAAAGGTGCAGACATGCTGGAGACACTCATCAGCAATCGACATGAATGCTGGATGTGCTATGAAAGCGGGGGATCACATTCTGGTTGGTGGTTTCGAACATTGTTCGTTTTTTTTACCCTAGAAATGGGATGCTGATGCGGATTGACTGATCTCTTTGGGATGGGTTGAAACCATCAACAACCGTTGATGGAGAGTTTGCCATTCACGTTGACAGGTAGTAGTCGCCCTCATAGACACTGGCTTCAACTTTTTGCACGAAGATATTCAAGGTGCGTCGGGGCTAGAGATGGCTGACGCAAGAAACATCATTGGGGAAAGGCGAGGAACGAGCGGCAACAAAACAAGAAGCAACCGCCCTTCAGATGATGTTTACCTCTGGACGTTTAGATGGTTTATATAGTTCCGTTAGTTCGGGGAACATCAACCAGCAATGATGGTGCGACAGTCGACAGTTTCCAGGCCGTGTCTGGGTCAACGAGGGAGAGATTGCTGGCAATGGCATCGATGACGATGGCAATGGTCGCCGTGGCGAAGTGGGTTGGGGGATGGAAAATCCAGGATGCGACTCCAGTCTGATTGTTGATGTTAGAGCAGAACGGCGCCGGCATTGGGCTCCGTTCAAAACAGGCCGGGGCTAGGGTTTTTATCTTCAGAAGCTCAGATTTCATCATGTCACATCTGTTTTTCCTTATTATGAAGCGGGCCCCGCACCAGAATCCGGCCAATCATTTACCCTCTGGTAATTTAACATAGCTATTGAAAATGGTGATTTATAGTGGATTTACCCATTGAAAATTGTGATTTTCCATAGTTATGTTAGTTTACCAGAGGGTAATCCTGGACTAATGATGGAAATAAGGTCTGCCCTTTTGCTGAAATCTAGGGACATCTGGAGACCAAATGATCATCTTGTGATACCCATGGGGTTTCCACCCCAGGAAAATCGTCAATGGTTGATTTTCCACATCGAACTGTTCGTTTACCCTAGGGTAGATGGAAAACAAACCACTTTAGCCTTTGAGCGCCAAAAACAAGTTCCACTTTAGACTCCTGACAGATTTTTCCCTGAAACTCACCACTTTTGCTGGAACTTGAGCTCTGGAAAAGGAACATCTGATTTTCGACCAATTTGGGTGGTGAGGATCCTTGGGTTCAAAAAAGTTCGTTGAATCCTGCTGATTTTCGTGATGTTTGGGAGGACCTGGAGTTGCCCAAAATTTTATTGGTCGCCAACAATGGGGAATCGACTCCCTCCAGGAAACATTAAAGACATGGAAAATCCACGCGACATTGTGAGATCATTTTACTTCAGCTGAAACCATTCATTGTCCTTTTCGCTTGTAGGTTTACTGGAGGCAATATATGGGTGTGTCTGAAAATAGTGTACCCCTAAACCCAATGGTTAATGATCATTATCCCTACTAAATGGCTATAATTGGGAATATACCCTATTTTCAGACAAACCCATATTGTCTATTTCTTATGGTGAGCAAATCCAGTCGCCATGGCCAAATTCGCCCTGAGGCTTTGTCGACGACGTCAATGGTTTCAACTTTGTGGAGCCTGGGCGATATATTTTAGTGTTAACGAAGAGTTGTATAGATTATATTGCAGTAAGCTAGTGAACATGTAGTGAAAATTGTATTTAGTGTTTTGTTTTCACCATTGTCACCAACTTCTGGTGGTTTTATGATAGTTTTGATCAGATTAAAACCAGCAAGAATTTCAAGGAATCATGGATTCCATGACCTTGGACAATGTTTGGCTCCATTTGAGCCATTAAAAATAGCCCTATCCCATCTCATGAAATCTCATGAACTAGTTGGTTTAGTTGTCTTTTCTAGGTTTCCCTATGTTTTGAGTTTTCAGAATCCGCAATGATGGTAGTATAACTCCCTATACAACCAATCAACCATGGTTTTTCGAATGGCTCACCACCGACATCTCCCAGGACAACAATGGTCAACCGGAGGACGATTCAGGGCACGGGACGCACAACGCCGGCATCATTGCGGCGCAAGTGAACAACCTGGGTGTGGCAGGCCACGCAGGAATCATGTGAGCCACACATGGCCATGAGATTTTTATAAAATTTTATAAAGCCTCTTTTTGGGGCTTTGAAGATACATGCTCTTTTGATCTTTTTGAATATTTTTGGGATTTGCTGGTAAAGATCTTGGCTTCACCGATATGAAATGAGATGTGACATTTCGACTTGGGTGTTGTGAGAATTTCGTTGAGTTGATACATGGGTAAGCACATGGACATCACGTTAGCACACGTGCGTTGGCTCAACAGCGGAGGCGCTGCGGGGCGCAACCAGATGGTGAAGCTGATGATTGTGAAGGTCCACTGCTCAACTTGGTCTTTTCGTCCCTCTTGGGGGGTACTTTGGGAGACCTATATAGGGAGAAAACCGACTTCACTTGAGCATCGACATGTTTTTTTCAGGGGTTGAACCTTCAGAAACCAACTATATAGTTTATTTTCCGGAATCCACGGTATATTGATGAACCAGACCCTGTCGGTAATCCACGGTATATCACTTTCTCCTAAGCCTGACGGCTTCAGCAGAGGCACTCACTGCCAATGGTGGCTTCAAAAGTGATGCCATCAACGTGCCTTGGCTGTGGTAAGTTCACAGCCCCAGCAGTGAACTGGTTGCTTCTTTGAAATATATCTAAGTGTCCTGGATTTTTTTTGACCATATCTGTTTCTTTTTTTTTGTCATGTATGTAACTATGTAATACTTATTACATGATTCCAACACTATGTAATGTAATGTAATGTCATGTAATGTAATGTAATGTCATGTCATGTCATGCGATGCAATGCGATGCGATGCAATGCAATGTATATAACTAATTATAATTATACATGTATATACCCTTAAATGTATAAACATTTGTATACGCCAGAATGATTATGCTATGCCCAACAAATTGGATATCACGCATGCATTCAAGAGTAGCCCCAATATACTTTGTTCACAAGAAAAAGTTTCCCTCAATCATTAGTCATTGATTCCACCACCTGAAATAAGCCATTCCAGGTATTTTTTTTGATATTTTTGGAAGATGGATGTATGTCACCTGCAACCATGCCACAAAGTACCTTTTCAGAGCCGTTTTTTTGTTCGAGGCGCTGAATTATGCGATGGCTATGGGTGTGACTGAGCTGAATTCTGCGGACGATCCCAAGAAGGGTTGGTTGTCCCTTGAGGATTTTGAACATCACCTTCAACCAATTGGATGATATTTAGGGAATCATTCAACTCAACTTGAGGATTTTCATCTATTGGTATCTGTTATTCAACTGTTATTCCCAATAGTTGAGTGATGTTTAGGACATTTACCAAGCCCAATGATTTCACGTCCCAATGATTCTTGGTGGCATCACAGCAAGGCCGAGATCTCCAGCAATTCCTGGGGAGGGCATAGCGAATCGCTGGCGTTGCAAACTGCCATCCAGGTAGCGATGGAAGCGGGTCATCTCTTTGTCTCGTGGCTACCAAGCTGGTGAAAAACATGTGCGACATGGAAAAATCAGAACTGCTGAATATCATCAGTTTCAGAGGTCGGCAAGGTCGGCGTTTGGTGATGGCTATTGCTGGTGATATATCCCATGAAAATCATGAAATCCGGGGAGTATCCAATGAAATCCCCATGACTATCCCATGAAAATCATGAAATCTTCGATTTTTCAGGGTTACCATTTCGAGATCTCAAGGTCTCCGCAGCTGGAAATGACAACCGCAATGCAGATCTTTCTCCCTTCTATCCCTGCGTTTATCCGCACGTATCTTGGTGAGACTGGCGACTTTTTAATCTTTTTGACATGTAGAAACGCCAAGAAAAAATAAAATTAAAGGATCATTTTTGATGAATGTGCTAAAGCAAATCGTAGGACTAAAATCTACCATTTGGGGATGGTTTCAATCCAACCCAATTTATATATAATTAATCATTTTGCATGGTGGAGGTTTAAGAGGTGACTAACTTTTTGTGCCTCCTGGAATTTTACTGGCACACTATGGCACATCTCTGCAAGTATAAAATAGTATATACTGTACACACCTGACTTACGAATATTATATACGTTACATAGAGTATGTGTATATTATATATTAATATATACAGTACATTGATGAAATATACTATATGATAGTAATAGTAATAATAAGAACAATAGTAATAATAACAATAACAATAATAATTATGATAACAATAATATATCCCTACTAATTAATCTACTCATATATCAGATTATCTTAATATAACTTGACTAATACGACGTTTATCTTTTTGGGATCCCCATTCCCCCCGGGTGATCGGCACGGCAGGTGCTGTGCGTGGCTGCCTCAGATGACCAGGACCGTGACACATTGGACTCATAGCAGGTGGAAGAATTTGCAAATGGTGATTCAATATTTTTAATGCATTATGAATGGAATATACTAAATTATAATTTTGGAATGATATTCCATTAAATGGTGAAAATGGAATCACCATTTAATGGATTATTAATGGAATGTTGATGGTTATATTACTGGAAGATTAGTGGAATATGAAAGCCATCCACCCTCCGGTAATCTAACATAGCTATTGAACATGGCCCATTTAGTTCGTTGATTTACCTATTAAAAGTGGTGATTTTCATGGAATATTCCATTCATATAATAGTAATGATAATATATTGGTATATAATGGAATATAATATGATTTTAAAATATTAATGGTAATATAATGGAATTATTCTATGATATATAATATATTGGAATATAATGGTAATATTAATGGTAATTATATATAAATTATATATATAATGGAATATATGATTTTTAAATGGAGAAAATCATGGATCTATGGGGATAGTTTTTATATCTTTTTATCTGGGCAACCTGATTTTATAAACAGCTACCATGACTGGCAATGGTAAACATAACCATAAAAATGGTGATCCCTCCATATTTTTGACGACCCCCGAAAAAAATATGGGTATTTCTTTCCCAATTCAATTTTTGGGGCATCATTAAAATCTTCGTTGGTTTTTTTCGAGCAGTAAACGGTTCGAACGCTTCGCAACGTTGTATGGTGGTTTTTTTCCCCTGAAAATGGAGGACCAATTTGCCTTCTTCTCCAACTACGGCGCGGAAAGCGTGGAATTGGTGGCACCGGGTCAGAGCATCATGAGCGACTGGGCGTTGTTGTTTTTCAGATTCGGGAATCCCGGAGACATTTTTTGTATTTCCATTTTCCATTGGTGAATTGTATAATGGGATACCTCTACAACAACGGTTGCATATACAATATATATGTATATGATATATATATACGTCTATATGTCTATATGTCTATATATCTATATGTCTATATGTCTATATGTCTATATGTCTATATGTCTATAAATCTATATGTCTATATGTATATATCTATATATCTATATACCTATATATCTATATATCTATATATCTATATATCTATATATATATATGTCTATATATCTATATGTATATATGTATATATCTATATCTATATATCTATATATCTATATATCTATATATCTATATATCTATATATCTATATATCTATATATCTATATATCTATATATCTATATCTATATATATATATGTATGTGTATATGCTGTATATGTATATATATATACATATTATGTGTATATATATATATATATTGAGGAATTATAGCAACATATAATAACCTCAGTGTGACGTCACTGGAATGATGATTAGTAAGTGGAATCATCCCCAAATGGCCTTATTTCAACTGTGCCCAGGTCGTTTTTCTGCATAAGGCCAGATGAAATCTTCCTTCCCCATTTAAGATGTATCACCATGGTCAGGTTGTAGTCTCATCTAGCTGGTGGGTTTCAACAAATATGTTCAGATACGCCTTGTTTCACCTCAACATATGGGATGCCGATGACGATGATGACGATGATGACGATGATGATGATTATGATGAATCATCATCATCATCATCATCGTCATCATCGTCATCAATCGGAATCGTTATCAATCGTATCATTCGGAAAAAAAACACGATTTCACGACAAAACTATTGGATGATTTACGACTATTATTGTGATCATTATTATCAGTGGTACTGGATGATTATTATCATTATTACTATCCTAATCGTGATATTAACAATCCATTATTGTTAAATCCATTAATCATAATTATCCATAATAATCTGGATGATTATTAATATCAATACCATTATGAAAACATCACGATCATGATAGTGATGTCAGCACTGCCGAGGCACCTACCTGGAAAACACGCAGTACGCCTCCCTCACCGGGACGTCCTTTGGAACTTCCATGGATCCTTGGTGACCACCTGGTGACCTCAAAACCGTGCATTTCCGTGCCACCGATATGGGACCGATGGTGATTTGTAAAGGGAGAAAAACATCCAAGAAATATGGCTTCAAAATATGTAATTCTGGGGAAAACATACAGAATATCCGAATATCCTCTGAAATTCATTAAAAATTGGCTTCGGAATATTTCAGTTTTTTCTCAAATATGAGGATTTCAGGTTGATTTCTGCAACATATATGGGAACAGATAGACATCGGAAAAACAGTGTAACATGTCCACTGATGGAAGGTGCAAAAACGGAACATGGACGTTTCGGGATCGTTGGGTATGTCTCCATACATTTTGGAATCTAAACTAAAATCGAATGACCTGAAATGTCAATCTTTTCGGCTCTTTGTTTGCATGATATGATATGTATTTTCAGGTACAGATACTGTTACTGGATTATCTAATGACCTGGGAATACAGTATACCGTATACCAGTATCAATTTTGTGTGTCCCATGAGTTTCCCACTTCAGAGCTATGGTTTTTTTCCCCCAAGTTTTGACCATTCCCAAGAAAGTGCAATTTGGATATGCCACATTTCTACCAAGAAAGAAGTATTCTTCCCAGAAGCAATGTAAACTAGCCCAAACCCAGGAAAATACAACAGGTGTATTTGACCGAAGTTACGTAACAGATGTTTCCATGTTTTTACCCTAAGATGTTTTCTCAAACAATAATCATACCCTCTGGTAAACTAACATAACTATGGAAAATCATCATTTTCAATGGGAAAATCCACTATAAATGGTCATTTTCAATAGCAAACTGTTATTTTACCAGAGGGTAGTGGGAAGAACAAAGACCCACAGCTCCAAGACACATGGATCCTATGCCCCACCAGACAGATCCAAAAAAGTGCCATGATCAGAACTTGGATTGTATCCAATTAATTTGGGGATGGTCACCAATCCATTAATAATATATAGTATATATATATATTATTATATGGGGATGGGTCAAAACCCTGGTACCTAGTGAACCCCAAAATAGCTGGTAAATGGATGTTCATTCCCCTAAAAAAGGTATTAATAGGTATTGATCCATACCCATATATATATATATATTTATAGCCAATCTGCTTGGATTCCCATAAAATCATCCATACTAATGACCAAAATTATTGCGCCGGAATCCCGTGTAACTTGACCCAAACGCACATAGCTGTTGCATGTGTGGGATCCAATTTTTTATCCAACTAAAACATACTAAAACCCTACGTATTGATGGTTATATCCGATTAAATACCATTGATATTCCCATTAATGATGATTGTTAAATATTGATTACCATTAAATCTCATTCATGTGGTCAAATCCCGTTAAATTATTGCCATTGAATATCATATGCTATTGAAAAGATATTTGAATATATCGCCCCCTAGCTAAGTTGGTGAACATAACTGCAATAACTCTGGTTTGACGCTACTTACAACTATAGTTCTGGTTGGTGGTTTCAAACATTTTTTATTTTCCATAATATATGGGATAATTCTTCCCATTGACTTTCATATTTTCAAGATGGTTAAAACCACCACCTTTTCCCACCTTTTCCGACTGCAGGCTGGCTCAGGTAAGGAGCGCAGCGATCCAATCTCGGTGTTCGAGCATCGTACCTATCATCCGGTCTCGAGCTTCATGGAACCACTTTGGCTGGCAAGTGGCAAACATTTCAAGGCACCTGCACTGCGAACACAGGGCTCTTTCAAGTGCTGCCCAAACCAAACCTCGACCTCGTGCAAGGCCCTTGGGTTCCATGGCAGTGCAACAGACTGAACGAAAGCTTGGATGCTTTCCGACTTTGGCCGACACTGCTGTAGGGACACCCCAACGGCGGCTTCTCCCCAAAGCGCTTTCAAGAATTGGCGGAACCACTTCAAGCGCTTTTTGAAGTCGAAGCGCTCCACGTCCAAATAAGGCCTTGTGGCCATGTCAACCCATTGGCCATGGACCTTCAATGGCCCTGACACCCCCCATGTGAGTTGGAAGTCGACGTAGAGCTGAGCGAAGGATACCCAAACAACTGCTGCCGCTGGAGATCGGTCCAGCCTCTCACCAAACCATTGAGTCGCTCGCCTGACATGGCTGAGCCCATAGAGCTGCGCAGTCGCAGGCATGATGGCACCTGTCCAGTTACCAAGACAAAACGTAGCCTCAAACTCACGAGTTGCACGCGGTACGGCAGCAGGAATCTCAGACTCAAGGCCGCCGCGTACATTGCGCCGTCCAACTGCCAAGTGTAAGGCCCGAACTTGGTCACTCAAAACCGCAGCTGCATGTGTAGCCTGAACATGTTGACACCAGTGATCCCAAAACCAAGCCGGACGGGCTTGATTAGCAAATCTCGCCGCCCGATCTGCCAAAGCATTGTGAAAAAAATTCCACGCTTCCAGCTGACTCGTAGCTGATCGAACTGACCTGTGTGCGGGAACTTTGTGAAGCTGCACTTTGTCTCGTCCCAGCTTATCCAACGATGTCGAAATCCACGCCCACAAATCTGAGTTGGCCTTGTTCACAGGCAGCTTAAACTTACCCCAAAACAGTTGATTAAACCGATTCACCACACCAAGGCAATCAGTCCACAACCTGACGGGGGCACGCACACAAGCAGCACAATGCAAAACATAGGCAACCGCAAACAACTCAGCACGGAACGCGGTTTGACAAACACCCGGAAGGACAGCCGCACCAAGAACAGACGTGCCCTGGGAATTCCAATGGGCAGAGAAAGTCGGCACACAAACCGCTGACCACGCAGCAACACGGTAACTCGGAGAGTCTTGGCACAGACAAGATCCATCAGTAAACACATCATTCCATTGATCGGGTTTAAGACCAGTGGCAGGTTCCGGCAGGTCCGTAGGCAAAGCCGCAAGCAGTCGAATCCAAGATGGCCAAGTAGGCGCCTGCAAAGCCCAGCCTCGAAGGGAGAGCGCCGGAGGCAACAACGACAGGGTGCGCACCGCATCTGGTGCCAAGGTTTGCCGCAAATCATGGTGTTGAGGGCATTCCCAGTACCGGTGTTGCATGGTGTCAGGCAAACCACACCATCGACATGCTTCAGACTGTTCATTCCATTTGGCTTTGTAGGACTCGGTGTAGAGACCACCTGCCAGACTATGTCGGTACATTGCCTGATCATCGATAGGCAGGCGGGCAAGGGCCCGACGAGTAGCGGGAACATCCACCTGCCAAAGCCCAGCAAACTCAACACGATGAGAAACCTTGTGAGAAACAAGCCTCTGCCAAGCCCACAGCAACCGCAGTTCGACCTCAGCATAGTTGTGGGTATGGAGATGAAACTGGCCATATTCATCCACAACCGTACCATCACGCTGCACACTAAGTCCAACCTGGCTCAGCCGGTGTGCCAAAATGGCAGCAAGAGAAGTGGGGGGCAAGTCCAATTCCCCGAGGGCAACCAAGGCAACGGAAGAAGTCCAAAAATCCACAGTGCACTGACGACGCACACACCGGCAAGTCCACAAAAGTCCAATCAGTTGTGGATCAACAAGCTCTTCCACAAGGCCCAGCAGGATGTGGCCATTGAGGCCAGGCCGATGACACCCAAGAGCTCCAGTAGCCCGCCTACGCAACTCAGTCCAAACACTTTCACCCAAAGGGGCACTGGCAACAGCATGGAGCCCACGGGACCAAGCAACAGCACGCAACATGTGAACCTTGCTTCGGTGTTTGGCTTTGCTGGCTTCGAGCTTGCCCCAAAAATCATCCAACGCTTGGATTCTCTGTGTGACAGTGTGGTTTGTGTGCTGTCTGGATACGCCAAGGTGACAACCCAGCTCACGGGCTTGGTGCAAAACAGTAATGCCATGTGCACGCAGCTCCCGGCGGGCACGTGGGTCGGTTGACCACCCAAAAGTCTTTTTCCTGTCGATGGACAAATCCAAAAGTCTTGCATACCTTTCAACAAGGTCAAGCTGCTGGACAGTGCGAGCAGGATCCCAGGAATAGGTCTGCCAGTCATCAACATACGACAGGGTTTGGACGGATGGTGCCTGGAACCGCATCCAAAGTGAAAACAGGTGGTCAACCAAAAGCATACCGTAAACGCTAAGCCCACACCCTTCCGCCAAGCCAGTGGAGGTCTGAAAGCCATCTGAGTAGGAATCCCTCACCTTGAAATGACGACACATGGAACTAAGGGCCCCAGCCCAAGCAGTGGTCACCTGGTGAGGTGTGCCAACCAAGACAGCAAGGCATAAAGCCGGAAAGCGAGGGATGCAGTTGAAGCATTTCTCAATGTCAGCTGAGAGTCCAGTCAGGCAGTTGCCGGAGCAATAGGCTTGCTCAATTTGCTGCATGACATGGTGCCACAGGTCTGAGGCCTGGCGGCCAGACCGATTGCCAAAAACCCCATCATCTACCCACTGTTCAGCCCATTGAAGGAGATGTCCGGACTGCAGGCTGGACCACGCCCTGTACAGCAAACTGAAGACCGTTATCGGTCTATAGTCTCCAACCGACGATGCTGACTCAGTTTTGGCAAGGGAATGCACCTTTCCGGCCAGCAGTTGCTGAGGCCAAGCTCCATCAAATTCTGCCCTACTGTAGAGCGAGATGACACTCTGCATGGTCGAGTCATCCGCAAGCAAACAGTCATGGCGGCTGACACCATCAAGTCCAGTGGCAGCACGCTTCTTTTTCCGATGGAACTCACCCTGCAAGGCAGGGCCATCAACAGCCAAGTGCGGGATAGGAACAGGTCGGACAACTTGTCGGGCAAAGTCCAAAAGCTCAGACCAGTGCGTGAACGGTGTGTTATCATGACGACACCAGCGCAAACGCCATTGGTCATGAAAGGCTTCAAAGAGGGCTGGCAAGTCTCCAATCAAGTCATTTTGGGCAACGACATGGCCAACCTGAACAGCGTCAACATCAGAAACCCACACCTTGTCAGTGTCAGCATGGATAACCTCAACCACCTCTCCATTGATCCAAAGAGGCAGGTCAGCTCGCAAGGCAACCGGGGAGCTCAACACCAAGGCACATTCAGCAACATCCACTTCGGTGACAGAAGTCTGGACCGTGTGCACCAGAGTTTCAACAGGCTCAGCTGGTGTGCGGGCAACCTCTCGGAAAATGAGATGCCTGTCAGCCTCGTGCTGCTGACGTCGATGTGACGTTTTGGCTTGAGTGAGCCTCTGCTCCAACAACCTGACTTCCGCAAGGACAGCATCATAGACCTGACAGGCAACATCAAACCCAGGGCAGAACTGTGGCATGACAACTGGGTCCAAGGGGCTAACATATTGTCTGGAAGGCCACCACTCGGCAAACGACCCAGAAAATCCAGGGGCACGCAAAATGGAATTCCACAAACCGATGCCATGCAAGTTATCTGTGCTTCCATGGGTTGGTCTACCCTGAGCCCAGCGGCAGTAATTTTGTAGGCGTCTCACCTGCTTGAACTGCTTCGCATGCATGGCTGAGTAGCCAAAGAAGGCTGGTTGAACATCATGAGACCTACCCTGTCGCATGGGTGCTTGACGATTGCAACGTTTGTGTGGCACAGTTTGGTGGCCGCGGCCTTTCATAGAGGGCAGCCAATCATGCTTAAGGTCAAGTTGGGCTTGGGACTCCCTCGCATGCCAAAGCTGTTGATACTGAGTAGTGGGGTCAACAGGGCTTGCAAACGACATGGGGGCACTGAGCGGCTGGACTTTCTGCCATGGGACTTCCTTCGGACACGGCCACACAAAACGCTCAAGATGAGCAGTCCCGCCTTGAAATTCCGCTCGCAACACTGCATGGTCAGCAAAGGTTTCATGACACACCGTAAGGCCACGGAACGCTAAGACCAACTCAGGAGACAGCCACAGATGATCCTTCCTGGTCACTCCCTTGCAGGTCATTTGAACAGCCGCACCTGTCTGGGCAAGGTGCAAATCCTGAACTTCCTGCCAACCCTGTGCACGCAGAGTCTGGACAGCTTCCAAAACATCAGGCTCAAAATTGAAGTCCCCTGCCAAAAACCGTGGCCCAGGGCTCATAGCAAGTCTGGTGATGGCAAAATCCAAAATTGCTTCAGTTCTTTGATGGGCCATGGGGTGAGTCTTACCTTCAGGGTACCCATACACCACTGCGCCAAAAGTCCAAGACGACTGGGTGTGGAACGCAGCAAACTGAAGACGGCCTGTCTCGTAGAGGTCTAAGGGCCAGGCAGTAGCGACTGTGCGACACGGGACAGCGGAGACAAATCCAACTCCGGCCCATTGGCCTGCTTCACTTGCAGCAGATCGCGGAGCCATGGGTGCTCCTGTCAGAACAGTGCGATACTTCGACTTCATTGCACGCAGGCTATGTTGCAAGTGCTTGCGATCGGCTGACGTCAGATGCGTTTCGCTGACCGCCATCACATCACAGCTGGTGTTGCCGAGGACATGGTACTTGCCTTGCAATCCAGAGGGATTGGCAACTCCCAACGACCATTGCCCATCGGGACCTGGAACTCGTGCTTCTCCAACCCGCAGCATCATCAACCACAAAAAAACTGAGAAAAACGCCCGGAGCTGTCTGAAAGACCAAGGGGTCACCCTAGAGGAAGGCAGTACTCTAGGGCCCCCACACCTTCACTCAGTCCTGGGTTTCTTTGCCAGGATCGTCTCGATGCGTGACATCTGGTCTGTCAGCATCGTTTGCATCTGTTTGGACTGCATGTCCATCTGCACCAACATCTGCTGCTGGAGGCTTTGCACTTGGGCTGTGCTCTGCACATGGTGGTCAGTCACAGTGGCCTCCAGCGTTGTCTGGCGTTGGGCAAGATGCTGGAACTGCTGCTCCAACTGCTGCAAGCGCTGGTCCTGGGAGTCCACTTCCATGCAGGTGGTGGTGGGCAGCTTGGCCAATATGCTCTGCTCGAGTCTTTCCTCCATCTCCTGCAGGGCACTGGATGCCGGTGGTGCAGCCGGTGGCCCGGCAATACTGGCCGTGGCTTTCCGCCAAGGATCATCACTCAGCCAGGGGTCAGCTGCGTGATCAGTCAGGCACATCTTCACAGTCTGAGCTGGGCCAACCACCGTGGCATCGTGATCAGCAGCCGTCGGCTTGGTGTCCTGTGCAGTGATGACCACCTGACCGTGGGACAAGGACAAGACATTGGTGGCAGGAGCAACAACAGCCTGAACAGCCCACATCAAACCTCCGGGAACTCCATGTAGCGGCTGCAATGGACGGCAATCCCAACCACTGGCTTTCAACACACGTGCCAGCATCTTCCTGTCACTGCCGTACGGCCATGGACCACAGTGATAAGTGGACCGACTGCCTGGTGCCAAGTACACTGCATCCGGTTTGACACTGGCAAACACCTCAGGGAAATGGGCAAGCGGCACCCTGAGACCAAACCGCTGGCCGGAGCGGGCAATGCCTATGCAATGAACCTCACAACGGGCCTTGTGTGTCACAGATGCAAAGTCCAACTGAGGCAACCAGATCACCTGAAACTCTGGGCTGGCCTTGAGGGCATCTTCGGTCTTGGGCTCAATGAAGACCCCCTTCGTGCCGCTCATGGCAAGGACAGTCTGCTCCATGGACTTGACGTACCTGATCATGACTGCAAAATGAGAGGCACGATCCCACTTCACCGGTCTGCCAGCATCATTGAAAAATTGCCTGCGAAACACATCCAACAAGGCATCATTGGGCTGATCAGGCTTTGGGTGCCAAGATGGGCAGCTGCAATTGTCCGTTCTGCAGGTCTGTAGGCAGGGCAACAAGGCAAGAATGTGCTTCACTGGCCTGGTGGCAAAGTCCTCCCAGCACATGTCCAGTTGGTCATAGTAGACTGTCACACGGGCACAAGCGACATCAACCGTCGGAACCGTCAAAAGGTCTTTTGACCGGAACTGGTACACCACCTGTTGACCTAACTGAACAAGCACACCAGCAAGTAGCATAGGCTCCTGGTTAACTGAGCATCGCACTGCAAACCGCAAGGTGGACCACTGGAGGCACGTGGGCAGCTCATTTGGTGGGTTCAGCACTAGCATGGCAAGGCTCTGATGCGTCAAAAGCTTCCCCGCCTGTAGGAAAGGCAGGGCATCTGCAAACGATGCAATTGTGACACCTTTGGCAAGAGGCCCAATGGCACCGAACGGGATCTGGCTGAGTGGTTCATCATTGCCAGTGCAAAATGCACCGATCCAACAAAAGCTTGGCAGGGTCGATGTCAACTGGCTTGGACGGAAGCATTTTCTTGGTGGCATTGGACTTGGCATTGGTGGTGGATTGCTTAGCAATCACCTTCTGTGCAGCCTCGTCCGGCAAGACCAACTGCAACACTGGCGTCTGCAGGTTTGCAAGGGCTTTGAGTGACTTCCAGGGTGAAACTCCAGTGACAGCATTCTGCACTTCATTGCGTCCCAAGCTTTGGATAACAAGCTTGGCTCTGGTGGTGGCCTGTGACATGGGCACTCCATGCAGTTGCAACAAACTGGCAGTGAGACCGACTACATCAACTTGGCCAAGACCCCAACACCACGGCTTGGGCACTTCATTCAAGTTGCCAACGGCTTCTCGGAAGCTGACTCGAAAGGCTTCATGCAAATCCAAAAGCAAGGACTCAGTGTGAGGCAAGCATGAGTCAATCAGGACATGAGCAATGTAAGCCACAGCTGCAGCTCCGCAGTAAGAGCCAGAGAAGGACCGACGTGTGCAGGCAACAGCAAATCTGGGAAGCCCCCAAGCTTGGCTCACAAGTCCATGGAGCGGGCACAAGCAGTCCACATCATCAGACCCTCCACACTCCCAAATGGAAACATGCACCTCAGTCAACCCCCGAGTCCAGACGATGGGAATCCAATGCTCATGCACCAAGACAACGGTCACAATACGACGGACAGAGGGGAGGCAGGCAAGCCAATCACGGACCAAGGTGGCAGTACCATGTTGCAACCATGTGGTGGCAAGAAGCGGGTCCAGATATTGGGTATGCGGATCTTTGGCAATGGCAAGGCACGCATGGACATGCAGGTTGATTTCATCATCTCCCATGGCACCACCCTGATTCTGCAACACAGCAAGCCTAGAGGAACTAGGAACTGCGGCTTGTCTCATATGCATGCAAACCTGGACATCTGAGACCAACGGTGGGACCAGGGCAACAAGTTGGGAGCTTGACAAGTGCTTGAGACCGGACAACGCATCAGGAGAAAGTCCATCAGCAGGCATGACAAAAGCGGGGGCAGACGAGTCACATGCTCCATCAGGACAACGACTTGGGCAATCAGTGACACCAATGGACGGAACACCAGACACCCCCGCCTCGGATGCATCGGATGCAACCCTGGGAAATTCCACGGAACCAAAATCCAAAGGTATTTCGGAAAGAATGGCAGGATCAAGGCTTTCCAAGTCAACGGACGGATGTGCAGCTGTCGGCTGCACAAAAGGCTGTACACGGATGCATAATCCAGTGACTAAAGCATCGGCTGCCAAAACCCCACCTGTGTTGGCATCACACCATTGACCTTCTAAGGCATGTTGAGTCAAGTCGATCTCTGCCTGGCACAACTGGGCAAGGGTGGTAGTGTCAGTGACCTGGACATGAACTACCGTACCATCTGGGTGTCGAATCTCTACCATGTTGAGGGCAATGGTCGGTGGAGGGGTATCATGGAGCAGCTCATGGGCAGCATGAAACAACTTCTTGCGATATTCAGCAAGGACTTCGGCTGGCTGAACCTGTGGCAATCCAAGCACCTGCTGCATGTGTCTGAGTGCACAGCCTCCAACCCAAATGGCCTGAAGTGGTGAAGCCAATTGTCCTACAGCGCACAGGCACAAACGCAGGTCAGGGTGATCAGGGGAATTCCACATGGCTGGGGGCAGAAATCCATTCATCAGCGAAAGCTCAGTGGGATGAAGGTGACGAAAAGCAACAAGTCCATCCTCCGTATGAAACTGAACCAACTGGGCATAGATTCCCCTCTGTTGGATGAGTGTTTCTGAGAACCCTGCAAGGCGGCAACCACAAGGGCACGGATCTGCTTGGGAGCCCCAGCTGTGAAGGCAAGTTGGAAGCTTACCGTCTTTTTGCATGAGGTATTTCCGTAAATGTGATCCATCCATGGTGAAGCGGGTGATTTCATGAGGCTGGAGTTCAAGTGCCTTAGCAACATCAGGCTCCCACTGTTTCATGACAGGCAACAAATCCCTGACAACAAGGTTCGGGCTTCGGGGCCAGTCTGGTAACTCCACCTTTCCCAGGCTAGGATGAGTGGCTACGACCCACCACCGATACCTGCGAGCAACCCGAATGTCTTCCAACTTGAGGCATGTCTGTGACACATGATAGCCAAGCTGAGACTCCAGATACCCAAGGTGTGCCTGAACGAATTTGTTGCATCTGGCTGGGGCAACGCACTCAAGGATCAACAGTGGGCTCTGACAAAGATAGCATGCTCTTAAGCTGGCAGGAAGAGTGCTAGAACGCTCATCTGAGGAGCCTGCTTGGGCACCACCCGTGCTGTATGGCTGACAGCTAAACCCCGACATCAAGGAGAAGGGCGGCTCATGCTGCTGAAGCCACTGCTTGACACAGTCCGGACTGGTGATGTCACATACATGGACTTGGACTCCAGGGTGACAGGTTTGATGGAGCGACGCAAGAGGAGGTTTCCACTCAACACTGGCCAGGTGAGAAAATCCAACCTCAGACAAACCAGCACCAGAACAAGCAACCCCAGCACACAACTCAATGACCCGGAAGGCATCAGCAGCAGGACGGAGGCCATGCGCCACAACATTACTGACATCAGTGATCAACAGGTCAACGGTGTCCGGGGCAAAGTCCACAGTGACATCAAACAACGTAAGACGTCGGCACCCTCTGATTTGGCTACTGATATCCCCAAACAGTCTCATTTTTCGACCATCAGGTACAGTAAGGCCCAAAACCATCTCGTGGGTATGCACCATACAGTCAACTACCAGTGATACTGAAGCCCCCTTTTCAGTCAAAGACCAGTTTGGGTGGAACAACCCATGCATGTTGACCACCTTGTCCCATTCCGTGGCCATTGCAAAGTAAACCAAACGCCCAAAAATCGGTGAGATCGACCCACTACAGAACTGGAAAGGTTTTGAGCCCGGGCTGGGTTAAAACCACCAACCAGATAGTTCAATTTTTAGTTTTCCATATATTGGGAATGTCATCATCCCAACTGACGAACTCATATTTTTCAGAGGGGCAGGTCAACCACCAACCAGATAATAGATGGGTCATATGGTCATTATAATAATGGGATATAGTGATATAGATGGTTGCAATATGTTACAATATATCAATGGTCTGTCTTTATACCCTATTATAACCTCTTATAATGTCTTATAATGTTCATGGAATTATAAAACAACTTTCACTTAGCTCTCGTGGTCGGACGACTGGAGGTGGCTGGGGCCGCTGCTTTGCTCTTCAGCTGGCTTCGAAGTGCCACCAACACCGTGCGATCGGTTGAGGAGTCGGCCGAAAAAATGCTGGGATGTTCAGCAAGAAATGGGGATGTATAGAGATACACAGCAGGGCAAAGGGGGCTATGATGGGAACTTCATGGCAATCAATGGATATCAATGGATATCAATGGTTTGGTTTAAGAGAAATTCTACAGGAAACCATGGGTTTTTAGTTTGAACATGTTTGAAATCTAAGGGGTTCCTGCAGATTTTCCCATTATGATAATTCCGGGATGTACCCTCTGGTAATGACTCAGAGTTTGGGAACTGGAACGTCGCCATGTTCAACAGGTAGGGTAAGGTGGTAAACCTATATAAGGACACCGCCAATATGAAATATACCTCCTGAACCCTGCTTTAGTATTGGATCATGTTGGATCTATTATTCATTTTCCGGCCCCTGTATTGGGGGGTATTTAATATGAGAGGAATGGAATTCAAGACCATCCAGCAAATGCATGGTATAAACCATTGTGGGTTTGGCATTCAGTTTACCACATTATGTGTTGTCTTCCAACCAAAAGTTCTATGGGACTTTTTTCAGCAGCGGAACATCATATGGGTTTGTCGGTTTGTCTGAAAATAGGATAGCCCTAAATCCCATTGTTGATCATTATTTTCCCTCTTATACAACATGGCAATTGTTTTTGGTACCCCATTTCAGACGCACAAAAAAAATCATTCTTGGTTAGTTATCCATCAAAAAATCCAATCCATATCCCCATTGTAGCACCATTTTTGTTGGTTAAAATTCATAAATCACCTCCACCCAAAGGTGGTCAAAGTACTGCACTGTTGAACATTGTTGAACTGTTGGATGGCCATCGCGTCCCTTACCTGGCCATGCCGTGCCAGGACATTCGCTGGCTGCTTTTGGAGACGGCTGAGAAATTGCTGCTCGACAACTTGAGAATTTCTCCATATTTCTCCATTCACTGATGAAGTTGTGGATAGTATTAATATGTATTAATCTCCATTTGATGATGGTCATTTTCCACACTCACTCCAGTTTCTTCTGAAAAAAACCGGACACTTTTTCCGTTGACCAGGTCCTGGACGGAGGGCTTCGTGGGCAACGGCATGTGCGGCACCCCAAGGAAGGGGCCATCATAGTGGCCATAGTGGGGGAAGAGTCCAAAGAAAAGGCTGCCATTTCTCAATGATTTGGTATCAACGATCTGGGATTTGTATAGCAAGTTGAGATATTTGGTGATATTTGGTCTAAAATCTCCCACTAAAATTGTAGAATCTTGTGTTGTGGACTTATTGGATGAATCAGTATGGAAATCACTATGAAACTGAGAAGTACAACACCATTACTCAGGTGACCATTTTATGATAGTGGCCGACTTTTATTAGTTACCTGCAAGGAAAATCAGCCGGGAAAAAAAGACAAAAAGGCCGATGTCCGGTGATGCCAGCCAGGTCCAAGATTTTCGTGACCGGCTGCAACGATGTCCTGAGGTTAGATGTGGATGCTGCTGCCAGCAAAGCGCTGTCAGGAGCCCATGACTGTAGTAGGCCAAGATGAATTTCCCCTGGTTGGTTGGTTGGTGGTTTGGAACCATGGAATTTTATGACTTCCCCAATAGTTGGGATGATGATCCAATCTGACTTTCACTCACTAACTCCATCATTTTTCAGAGGGGTAGGTCAAGCACCAACCAGACCCCCTCGAGATTTCGCATGATTTCGCTGTTGACCATGCATTTTCCACGGACAGAAGTTGGGGAGATTCCATGGCCAGGACTGGGATATTCCTGGCTGGTGGGGCCGTGGAGCTTATGTCGTCGTGAGAGCCACTCGATTCCATGGCCCTGTTTCGAGGGCAGGGTGGTTGTTTTCGACATGTTTCACATAGCCGTCAACGGGCCGTCAACCATGATTTGCTTTAAACAAAATTGCCAGCTCAACAGATGGGTATGGGTCAATACCTATAGATACATTTTTAGTGGGATGAACATCCATTTACCAGCTATTTTGGGGTTCACTAGGTACCAGGGTTATGGCCCATCCCCAGATTTTCCCAAACTCGATGAATTGCCCATGAATTTGACCCATGTTTGTCCAGCAAACTGGCCACCGCTTCGACGCTACCAGGTTGCAGCACGTTGCAGGGAATTCGCTTACGCAATGTGAGCTGCGTGAGCAGTGATGGGACGGAGGTGCGGAAGTTGACCGTGCGTTGACCGAGAAAAAAATTAAAAGCAACGGGGGATAAAAATCTGGGATAGTCATTGGGATTTAAGTAGCAAACATGGTGTTCTATATATATATATATATACACATATGCACATATATATGTATATATATATATACATGTGGAGTTCCCAGCAAAAACGATGCCAGATTCCAACCGAAAAAATGATGCCGGGGTAACCTCAAAAACGAGGCCACATACGGTAGGTCTACCGGTAGTTCGAACAGGAGTGTGTGGAAATCCGCTTTCCAATGAAACTGGACGGCAATACCTTCCAGTAATGAAACGTAGCAAAGGGAAATCCCCTATTTTAATGGAGGTTTATAGCTGGGAAAATCATCTACAAATCAGATCGGCCATTTTCCATTGCCACGTTTGAGTACCGGAGGGTGGATACACCAGGTCAACCGATTTTCAAAGATCAGGAAATGCTTCAAATCCAATGCCAGCAAGAAAGACTGGCTGAAAAAGATATTTTTCTTTAGATCCACAAAAGAAGCTGAAACCAAACTGGTTGGAAACTGAACAAACATTCGGAGATTTTCATGTCTTTTATGGAGGTTGCCTGACCCAAACCATCCATTTTTCGACCATGACTTAGTACCTCTGGTATCCTGTGGTGACTTGGGGATTACCCCAATAGCTGGATGGTTTTTTCCATGGAACATCCCATTAGAATGGATGATTTAGGGGTCCCCCAGCTCGTAGAAATGGACGAAGCTGGCTGCCAGGTAGACCTTGCTCAATGCAGCGAGGAAGCTGAATGTCAGGAGCATAGAAGGGCCATCGTGGCATGGTGATATACGCCATAGTTACCTTTTGTGGTTAAAACAATGCCATAAACTACCCATGACTGGGAATGGTAATTATACATAATTATACCACCTATACAAATTGTGATGACTGGGGGATGGTTTACTATTGTTTTCACCACATTATACCAATTTCATCCAAATTATATTACAATCCGGTAATCAAAACATGGGTTATTTTCCCAGCGAACTAAACCTCCATTTTTTTGTAGGATATTTCCGATTGCCACGTTTGATGACACCGGAGGGTACTGTGCCGTAAGTTATCATACGGAATTGTATATTTAAGCAATTATAGGAAGGTTTTAGTTCTGGTTGTTGCCAAGTTTGGTGGGAAGCCTCCTAGCTGTCCTAGCTGAGAATCATTTTGGACCGGATGTAGAAACACAGACCTTTGCCCGTTTCTCAATGACTTCCGTTCGAAGGGCTTCAACCATGGATCGCCAGCAATGGTTTCATCACATGTTCGGTGTAGCCGCCAGCAACCCACTTGACGGATTAAAAAACAAATAGACCATGTCATACTGAGTACTGTCAAAATATGTCTTCTTTGTCCCGGGTTTTAAACCCAGTGATTCTTCTGCATTTGGGCGTTTTTTTCGGGGGAAGCCCTCAGTGTTGTTGGTGACACCCCCCAGCTTTTTATGGTTACTAATAAATCCCAATTTTCGTCAGTAGCCTGAGCCATGTCGTCTCAACGTGGCATTTGAAAAATGGGTGCGGCAGGACACGGTTCGTGGCTGGCGCGACTCGTATGATGCCACTTGCAGCGTCTCGGAGGGAGAAGCTTGGGGATGGGCGATTTAGCCACAGATTGGGAAAAGATGAAGATGTGAAGACTGAAAACTGAGGGAAAAAGATCAAGTCCTTGGGGGTTTCAAATTGGATGTCAGGTTGGAACATCTGTGTAGATCTGGTTGCGGGCTCATGGTGAAACCTTGGTTGTTTGGTGACTAGTCTATGGTAATTTGTGAAGAGCCCCACAGTTGGAAGAGATAATCAAAGACTCTAAACTTATGATGGAACTGGGTCCCCAGCTCGCTTTACGTTCTCATTTTGAGTGCGTTTGAGCCGTTGAAAAAACTTGATGTGCTGACATGACCAGGGACATGCCTGGTGGTCGTCTTCTGGGGATCCAAGCTTGGTGTGAGGCATCTATGAGAGCTACAATTGGTGTACCTCAACAGGCAGGGCGGTGTGGAGTCAGCTCTAGAGCACCCAAAGAATTGTCAAAAGTGGGATATTATTACTAGTACTACTACATACTACTACTACTACTATTACTATTACTTACTATTGTTATCATTATTGGCTTAGATTTCCGCCAGAGACGGGGTTTAACGAAGCAATTGATGGGGAGTCATCAAACATGGCTTGTTCAAACACAGCATCGAAACAGAGACACCAAAATAGCTCTTCCAGGTGCACCAAAAAGATGACTTGGTACCCAAAGTGTGTTCCAAGTCCCTGGTTTTTGGCAGGGAACTACGCAAGTGGTTGGCTGAGCTCGTGGGGTAGCTTCGCGGACCGAAACGCTCGTGAGACACTTTGGGGAGTGATGGGAGTGGCTCCAAGATCTTTCAAGGTTGATTCAGTTGTCAATGCTTTTTGGTTGATTCCAGGTGGCTATGAGATATCTGTTCACAGATCCCTCTCAGAGAATTGTGATGATGTTTGATCAAACATGCCACACCATTTTCGGCACCTCAAGGAGATGAATACCCTTTGGTAAACTAACATAACTATGGAAAATCACCATTGTTCGTGGGAAAATTCAATATAAATGGTGATTTTCCATAGTTATGTTAGTTTACCAGAGGGTATATCATAATATATTGTATTCGACTAATCAGAAACTGGTACTTGGCCCTGAAAATTGCTTGTCCCATGTCCCATGTGAATAAAACCAGTTCCGTAGAAAAAAAGTGAAGTCAATCCGCCAGTTTCAGACAGTCCGCCATTTTAGTCATGGTTGATTATTATACATCTATAAACATACCCCATAATATCCCCATCTGGTTGGTTAATAATGGTTAATGATGGTTAATGATGGTTAATAATGGTTAATAACCACTGATTGGTGGTTTGGAACCATGGAATTTTATATAATTTTATGACTTCCCCAATGTCGTTGGGATGATGATCCAATCTGATGAACTCCATCATTTTTCAGGGGGTAGGTCAACCACCAACCAGTCATCATATCCCCTTCATATCCCCATTCAATGCCACTGCCATTCGCTGCTCCATGGGAGACCGGAGGACTACGCCCGCGATGGCTACGATGCCACGCAAGTCTGTTGCGCCTGCGGCAGCGGCACAGTGGAAGCGGGGAACGTGCCCTTTGCTTCGCAGGACCGAGTACTCAGCTACGCCGCTACGGGCGGTACCCAAAAAAAAGTGGTTTCCTTTACTAAAAAATGGTGGGTTCCTAAATGTGACCTCACTGGAATGGTTGGGATTCGGGGAATTCTCCCAACATCGCCGAAAAAACCAACATGACCCAACTGGAATGGTCCCTCTTGGGGATTTCTGACGTGGTTTGGATCCCTAGTCGTCAGCATAGTTGTTTCAATACAAAGTTACCTCAAGGTCATCCATACTAAGTCATCTAACTGGAGGTACCCCCATTTATTTTGGGAAACTTCCCTTTATGACATTTTATGACCTAATGTCAACCCTGGGGCAAACTGACATGAAAACGCCATGGCAAACCCACATCTATGCTGTTTTTCTGGATCCATCTTCGAAATCGGAGAGATCGGCCGCTTGGGAATACCGAAACAGAATAAGAACATACAAGATTTTCCACATCCTAGCTTTGGGGTTGAATGGAAAACATAGTTATACCAGTACTCTAATGGGATTGAATGGGATATGATAGTGATTCATGCGATTAAATTGATTAAATGGCATTGATTAATTGGATTATTTGAAGATTGTGATTCAATGCGATCTTAATCCGGATATAGTGGGACTTGCAATCAGCTGTTTTTTCTAAAGTTGGAGTAGATTCACCAGTTCTTGAAGGATAGGGTCATTTTTATCCATTTTTATAGGGTGTTTCCGTGAAATGGGCTACAATTTTCATGTTCAAAACCTTTGTTGAGGATTAGTTGGAGGATCACACTACCCAAGATATTGGGGATTCTGACAATCCATGAAAGGGTCACCCTGTTGTTGACCAACCAGAGAATCTAGAGGATGATAGAGGATGGATGGTTTTGAACGCTGCTTCCTTGATGAATCAAACAGGGTTTGCTGATCCAGGGTTGATGGTACCGATGATGGGTGGCTGCCAACTATATATATATACACCCTCTGGTTATTTAACATAGCCATGGAAAATCACCATTTTAAATAGGTAAACCATCTATAAATGGGTCATTTCCCATGGCTATGTTAAATAACCAGAGGGTGTATATATATATATAATTATATATATATGATCTTACTTCTAATGGGATTCCAATCGGGGTAGAACGGGCCAAACGGGATGCAATGGGGATACCACCAGATAAACATGTGGTAATACTATGTCATACACCTGATCAACTGCTGGTTGCTCCCAGGAACACTGTTTAGATGTGGTACGGGCTCATTTATTCTTGGGTTTAAAGTATCCCAAGCACTTTCCACTTCCAGAAACACGAGCAACATGATATTTTTTGTCGCCTTTTTCTTCATCTTCGAAACTTTGTTTAGATGGGTCGAACCCTACTATTACCACATACCTGGGGTTACCATGGGTTACCTGGGGGATGTCGATCCATTAACATTTGGATCATTTGGGGGATTCGGGCGATCACCAGGGCACTTTTTTTTCGCCTTGCTCCGCAGGAATGTCCCGAACCCATTGGGGGTCCGGATGCCAACTATGATGGCCTGGACGACTGCATCATGCCGGTGGTGACCACCACTGCGACGGTCCAACGGGTCCAACGGTCCTGGAGAGACATCATGGTGACGAATGAACGGCTTTTATAAAACCATTATTGATAGGATATTGATCAACGCATCACACTGTATATATATATAGATTGAAGAAAAGCACCAGGTTTCGATGGGGATTGGTGCTTTTTCTCGTAGCCACGTTGCGCACGTGCAGTCTGCGACAGCTACAACCATCACTGACACGACCGTGACGGTGACGACTATTACGATGACCAGCCAGATGCTGTGCTTTTTTAATGGATGGGAATGGATGGGAAGATGTTGTTTTTTTGGATGTGAACCATATTACCCTCTGGTAAACTAACGTAGCTATGGAAAATCACCATTTTTCATGGGAAAACTCACTATAAATGGCAATTTTCAATAGCTATGTTAAATTACCGGAGGGTATTGGTGTCTTTTGTGTTTTCGCTGTTTACACTCCGTGTGAAATTCTGATTTTCAGGGCAAATGGATGGGAAATCTTTTGGCCAGTGTAAAGATTTCGATACTCACACGGTTGTTGACACACCACATCCACTTGAGGTTTCAATTTTTTCTTCCATTTTCACCTGTCATATCGTGTCATATCCTGCCAGAATGATTCTCTTTTTGACTTTCATAGTTTCGGAGGTGACCGAACTGACAATCTCCTGCGTGGTGATCTCTCCGACTCCCAGACGGTCTATTTTTGCATATGAACCATTGATCTGCTGGGAAATCCCCGAGCCATGGAGGTTTGTGGAAAAATCAGCTATAAATGGTGGATGGGACTGGCTGTGGAGGTTTAGTTCGCGGAAATCCTCAACTAAATGGTGGGTCATTTTCCAGTCTGCGCCATGGCAATGGCACTGGAGGGTGCACCAGCCAGGGTCCCAACATTCCCAAGGACAAGAAGTAGCACCATGACGAGCAGCACGGCGACCACGCCACTTTGGCCCTGTTGGCATACAGCTTGGGGATTAAAGCCCAGGTTTATTATCATATATATATATAAATGTCATCTGGGTAAATTATAACGACCTCACTGCGACCTCACTGTTTCATCATGGTTAATAAGGGAAATCATCCCCTTTTATGGCCGCAAGATTCAGGGTAGTGAAATATTATAATTGACCCAGATTTATGGGATAAACGGATAAAGCTGGGGATATCATCCAAACAATGACCCCGTTGCCGATCCCCATTGATCGGCAGGGGAGGGACCACTACCACAATAGTCAACGTGAAAAAACTCGACTTGGGCGGCAAGTCCTCCAATTTGCAGAGTCAGGGTTTCTCTAATCTGGGATGGACCAATCACATGTTTTTTTCGGATGTTTTGATCCCAAAAAGTGTTGGAATCTTCGGAAGCCCAAAAGAGTGGCCAAATCCCCATGAAATTCTGTCTGTTTATCGAGATGTAGCCACTCCATCAATGCCGTTCATGGCACTGTCAGCAGAGCATTCCACTGGAAATGTATTGTTGGATGAATTTTCATGATGTTTCATGTGATGTTTCATGTGATTTGTAGCTATTTCATGCTATTTCGGGGAGTTTTTTGGACATGGGAGGAACTCCGAAGAAATCGACCGGTCCTCAGTCCCAGCTGTGGAGGGGGGAACCTAAGGCACACTGATACCACTACGAGCTCCAGCACTACAGCGACGAGCACGTCGAGCACCGCCACCACCTACAGTTGCTTGTAGCAAACGTGAGGAAAGGTGGCCGGCTTCAAGTAACAAAAAAGTATGGATCTATTTTTTTTGCCATGGATTTAGTTGAGTTTCAGATATGATCTACTGAATCTACTGTATTTTCAAGCATAGAATTGGAATGATGACCCCCAGTGACGAATCCATGCAGAGTTGGCACACCAGTGAAGTCGCTATCAGGGGACCAGCGCTGTGTAGTACTATGAAATACTATGAATACTATTACTAGTATATGGTTTCACAACCAGTGTGAACATACAGCCATGGTTACTACATTACTCGTAAGTCATGGTTAACCGGTTAACCTTGATCTTGTTCCCTCCATGTCCACAAGAATGGTGAGCATCATTAGTTATATCATAGATATCCTATATTATACCCGTCATACCCCCTGGAAATGTTTGGTTAAGATCATCATTTGATATCCGGCAATATCATTATATATCATTCATGCCCCTATCATACCCACTTAGATGTCATCAATAGATGTCCTATCATATCCACTTGCAAAATTGTCAGTCACTCCCATCTAGTGGAATGGTTTGTCAGTTCCACTAGCATCATGGGCACAGCACGCCCGACCGAAGCCGTTTACATCGTCAAATGGTTTGCTTCGTGAACTCAGGTACGAGGGTATAAGTATAGTGGGATATTGATAGGAGATTGGGATATGAATTGGACATTCATTCGATGCTGATGGGATATAATATTATTACCAAATGTGATATTGATGGGATATTGGTCGGAAGGGGTGTGTGTATAGTCAACAGAGAAACCCCTGGAAAAAAACCGTCTCGATGCCGCTGTCGCTTATTGATAATTATGGGATCCATATTCTGGAAGATTACTATCAATATCAAATGATCTGTTGGAAAATCATGGAACCTTTTTCCAGGTGTCAAAAAATCTGAACATATAGATCACATATATATATAATCATATATATATATATTTATATATATGAATGGTTGATGTGTCAAAATAGGCCCACACACTTCAGGTACCGTCACCACAAGCTCCACAAGCTCCATGACCTCGACTTCGAGTACTGCCAGCATCACTTCCCACACTGAAACCTCAACTTCCAGTACCACACATACCAGGTGGGATGTGAGGATCTGAGGTAGCAAACAGGGCAAACAAATGCGGGTAATGTGTGGCATATATGGGTGTCTGAAAAGAGTTTTTTTTTTTTTTTTTTCGAAAAGGCCGTTTTCCGGAAAATGATAGACCCAATGGACGGAAAATGGATTTCCCAGAATTTTCGGGTACCAAAAGCCGCACATTTTTTTCACCAGGGTGAATCAGAACTACAATCCCCATGTCTTTACAACAAGATTATCCCCATGTGAATCAAAACAAATCCCCTGGATTTCTTCCAGCATTTTGGTAGGACCACTTCAACTTCCAGTAGCTTCACGGTCAGCAGCAGCACCAGCACCTCCAGCACATCCAGTAGCAGCAGCAGTAGCAGCAGCAGCTCTTCGAGGAGTTCCAGCAGCACAACGAGCGAGACGAAGAGCAGCTCCACCACGACATCTTCGACGTTCACGAGGTGGAGAAAAAAATCGTATTCCATCGATTTTCATGGTTAACCAAGATGGTTATTAACAATATTTCAATATGGTTAGAAAAAGTCTTAATAGTGATGAATAGTGAGAATCTGTGATCCAAGATGATCCAAGACATTCCGAGCCATAGATCCTCAGGACAACAAGCAGCACAGTGACTTCATCGACCACGAGCACAACAACTGCGACCAGCACAAGTACCTCCAAAACTTTCACGATGCTGGGCAGCAACGGCAGCAACCACAAAAAGCGCTGTTCATCCCTTGAAATTTTCGATTTCTGGCAAGCCTGACTTGATTTCTGACAAGTCTTTATCAGATTCAGTCCCGATCTTCAATTTTTGCAACCGATTTCGGGTCCATTATCGACGGTGATCAATACCCACATTCCGGGTCGCTCTCCATTGCAAGTAGGAAATCTCCACACTTTGCCTGTTTTGCTTCTACACTCTCGATGCATGGGAACCTTTGCTTGTTTCACCGGTGAAAAACACATGGCTTCCTTTTTTTTTCCTGAACATCGAGTAAACCTAAATTAGATGGTTTGGAGTTTAGAACATAAATTGATTGCGGTTCACCCTTTCACACAGCCACATACTCACGTAGGACATCCTCAGGAGCAGCACCAGTAGCACTTTCACCAGCACCAGCAGCACAAGTAGCAGCACAACTTTGAGACTCGGAGAGGACGTGGATATGGAATGGACACTGGTTTCATCTTCTACAAAGTGGGGCCCCTTAGATAGCTAAGTTGGTTTATAACTCCAATAACTATGGTTTATGGATGTTTATGGCACCTATAACTATAGTTAATGGGGTTTATAAACCATCTTATAACTGGGCCCCACATTCTATAGTCTATGGTTAAATCCATGGACATCTCCATTCTGTACACCATTGAGATCGTGTTTTCTTTTAACCAATATATATATATATTTTAAGCAACAATGACTGGGTATACTTCACCAACACATGTGGATGGTTTACTGACAATCGAAGCTGGCAACGAAATCGTCTCTCCCTTTTTTCGAATGTTTCCCCTATATCATCATGGGGATTTTCGATGACCAGGTTTGATTATACATTAGCCATTGATCAAATTTGGAGATATGGACGGCTTACTGTACCTGATGTTTGGAGGCGAGCCAAGGCTTACAGAAATAATCCAAAGATACTCAATTTTTGATCCATCCACGCTCGCTGGTTTTTCAGAGGTTGATGACCTGCTTAGCTTCTCGTAAACGAAGCTAGTGACAGGGAATTACAGGAAATCACAATTCTGTTTTTGGTAAAACCATGCTGAACCATAAAACTGTTCTTTTTGGTGGTAAGTCCATACCTTTTTCAACTTGTTCCAACCTAACTGAACCACAAAAACCCGCGTGAAGTTATATCTCTATCAACTCAAAGCTGACGTTTTTTGAAATTGTTAGATTTCAAGTTCACCAACATTTCAGCAATGACATTTATGAATTTAGGCCCACCCAAAATGACCATGAAGGCCCCGCAGAGAGGGTACCACCAAGGACAGTGGAACTCGCTGCAGCCATTGGAACCACCGACTTCGTGCGAAGTACTCTGCTACTGGTGGGCACCAATCAGACCCCAGCAGGCACGCGAGGGAATTGAATTGAGTTTGAAAATGGTTATTCTAAGCCATGAAAAATGGGATGTGCCCTGAAAATGGTGATTCTAACCCATGAAAAATTGGATTTAAGTCATGTGAATGGGTAATAATTACTAGGAAGACTTCAGATGATTTGGCGCGCACAGATTGGGATGATTTGACCAGAGAAATTGGCATTGCACCAGCCTTTTCATCAGATTGATGTAGCCCGGTACTTCACCCCTCCAGTGGTGATGATGTAGAGGAAATATCTTCCAATCTTGTTGGCCTTCATTCTGGTCTTGTGGCAGTTTCATGTGATGCCACATTTTGATTGAGAACAAGATGCGTGACGCATCGCGTGACGTGAGTTAGCACTGCTTCAGAGATGAGACTTGGACCAAACTCCATCTTGGAAGGCATTGATGATGCTCTAGCTGTGGCACTGGCAGACAGCTTCCAGATGTCACGTGTCACTGAATTCGTCAGAGCAGAAGGATCTGTCCCCAAAGATGTTGGGAACACATGGGAGGATCATGGAACGCCTTCTAAAATCCAATGAAGTATAGGTTGATTGCCCCAGTTTTGGACTTCACAAATCCGGGAATTGGGTAATGTATGGTTTGCTGTGGTAAACCCAATCATGGACCCAATTTTTCGGGAACGTCAAAATTGGAGACTTTGGGATGGAGGTTTTTGGTCGGCAAAGTCATCGATGATAGCGGCTTGCGGCTTGTCTATCCGGGTCTACCCCGCATTTTTTACCACCCTTGACAGGAGTGTCCACAATACAGTATAATATTAACATACGTAGGATGTACATCGGTGTATAAAAGTATATATATATATACGTAGCCATGCGCATAAGATTACAGATACATATCAAGCATATCACATCATGCATATATATATAATACATATAGATATATTACATATTATCATTAGTACATAATATATATATATATGATAGTATGTAATACATCTGCATGTGCCGAGGCAACGCTCTTCTGTGGAGGTTCTCTCTGTGAAAGCTGCAGTGGCAGTGACCTGGTGTCCGGACATCATGGGGGTACTTCTTCCCCAAGGATGGCCATTCGAACGGGGAGAATGGGAGAAACACATCGGTTTAATGGGTTTAATGGCCATTTTGAGGGTTTAATTCCCCCCCAAAAAATCATTTGAATGCGGAAAATGATGATTATCCATAGGATTGAGTTTTCCCCAACATTTTTCAGATACTAAACTCAAATGGAATATGGTTTACACTCCGGTGTCATCAAACGTGGCAAGCCTGGAAATCCCCGAACCAGCCATTGGTTCGGTTGAGTTCGCTGGGAAAATCATGAAATGGAGGACTTGCAGCAAACTATGAGGATTGAAGCAATGAATAATGGATGGTATGGATGGGTGTGTCTCAGTTGATGGGCAAAAAAAATCAACAATCAGATTTTGGGGTACATTTTCAGACAAACCCAATATGAGGATTGTTTACCGGAAATGTTGGTTCTGGGTGAACAAAAGGACAAAGATCACAAGGACGTATCATCCCAGAAAACAAGACGCTAATGTTTTCCGGAAGAACCTGTTCCATCTGGGAAGAGAGCCATGGTCATTTTGAGTGCCCAGGAAGTACCGAAACTTGTTTGCACCATCACCGAAACGTCGCTGTATCCGAGGCCCGAGGTGAAGGACAATTTTCCAAAATCTCGATTGATGGCCCATGGGTATCCTATTTTCGTGACTTTTGATCGCCAGCCTGGCTCAAGAGACCTTCTAGCAAGGTGGATGACCAAGCAATTGGTCGATGCTACGCTGTGCCACCCAGAATTGCCCCTATGCCGTGGGAGGTGCGGAGTTTGGAGGCTTCTGCTGTAAGAAGTGCCATGTAAACCATCTTCTGGGACAGAACCAGGAACATGGCTACTACTGCCAGAAGCGGCTGGTGCCACCTGGCACCCGGAGATCCCCTCCAACTCCACCTCCCGAGCCCCTAAGTCAAGCGACTTCCAAGAAGGCGCAAAAGCGCATCAGACAGCTGGAATGGGAGAAGGCGGAGCGACAGGAGCAGTCGACAGAGGACGGGTGGAAGTTGCAACGCCAATAGATTTGGAGTTGTATCAAATGCAGTAGGTAGACTGAGGTAGATCATCAATATCATGAGTCATCTGCTTTTGCCGTGTATCAACCAGTTGTTTTTCAGTACCCTTCCGATTCCATCCCAAGATTTGGAGTCCCCTTGAGGAATGCATTCGTGGCAGGGTCGTCAAAGAAATTGTGAACGACATTCAGTGTGCCACAAAAACATTTGGACCCAACAACTTCCACAGCGGTCCAAATTGGGTACAGACGCTATACTATTATACCACTTAAACCCACTTAAACATCTTAAGATCAAGGTGTCTCAAGACATCGAAAGTACCACCATGGCCCCTGAGGAGGTGGCTGCTGAGGAGGAGGATCTGGATAGGCCCCAAACCTCCCGGCGCCGCAAGCTGCCCCCCCCGCCCCCAGTGCCCCCAGCGCCCAAGGCCGCTCCCAAGGCTCCCATGGCCGCCCCCTCGTCCAGCTCGGCGCCGCTGCCCTCGGCCACGCGGCCCGGGCTGCGATTGGCGCCGCCGACACTGCGGCTGCTGGGGGGGATGGGGGACGCCGTCCAACTGGTGCAGGCACAGGCGCAGCAGGCGCAGCAGGTGCAGGCGCAGCAGGCGGCTCGACAGGCTGAGGCCACGGCGGCCATGGAACGGGAGAGGGCGGGGCAAAGGTTGTTGCAGGCCTTTGCAGCTGCACCCAATGCTGGCTATAACTGGAGAGACTCAAGTACTTGGCAAGACGGAGTGATTCGAATCCACATGGCTCATTGGGAGCTCTCAGAGGAGCATTGGACCCAGTGGCTTCAGTGGATGCAGAACGAGTGGACGAGGAGGAGCGCAGAGTACACTTGGGCGATATCCACCATGGATCTCTCCCACAACGTCCTCACGCCACCTGCAATTGAGAAGATTTGCGACTTCTTAGACGGGAAGCTAGTTGCTGAGTGCAAAACCTTCATCCGTCTTTTCTAGATGCACTTTTCTTCGTTGATTATGATTTATAATTTTAATACAGTTTGCATCAGGTTTCCCCTTCTTTATCAATGTTTTTCTCAGCATCAGGTCCAGTTTTCAGACCAAGAACTAAGTGCAAGTGTGATATCGTTGCTACCTTGAGTTGTTATTAATTGTTTTCTTAGTGTCCCCATTTTGTCTGAGTTTCAATTTGTTTTGTTTTGCCTCGATCCCGTGGCCAAAGTTTCCAGGTTTGCCATAGCTTCGATTTTTCCAACACGAGCATGTGCGACCAGGGGCTCATTCGGCTTGTGCTCCATTTGGCCAGCACTGGTGTGACGGAGAATCTGAACATCTCTGACAATAAGGAACCAGCATTTCAGGGTTATACGAGTTATACTTCCCAAGGTATGGGGGACTACACTATCATTGACCTGGTTGGTGTTTTTTTAATTTTCCATGTCATATATGGGATGTCATCCTTCCCATTGGCATATTTTTCAAGATGGTTGAAACCACCAACCAGCTACTTAATTTTGGGAATCCCTGTGAACCAAGAAGTATGTCATGGACTGGCGGTCTGGAACCATGCTCAAAACGGAGAAACCTCTGGATGTGCCAGTCACGCGGGCGGTTTACTCCCCCCGGTGAAGCACCAAATTTGATGATGCGTGCGAGACTTGATGGTTTTGTTCAAACTTGATACTACGTTGATATCCCAATCTTGGGACCAGCAGACGTATCCAAAGATTGTAAATTGTTGGGAGAGATCATGGGTTTTTTCACGGGCCAGTCCACGTCCAATCATCATGGTGCCGTTGTTTGTCCCGTTTTGCAGCTTTCTTGGGACATCCCTTTTGGCACCATTTTTGGTCCACGTGCTGTTCTGAATGAGGACATCACTTTCACGGGCGTCTCCTGGCTTTTCACCATCCTCAGTTGGCATCCACTCTATCCATCGCTGGCAAATAACAAGCAGGGGCGTCCCGTGTACTCCCCGCTGAAGGTGAAAATGGAGAACTTGGGCTTCCCTACCAGTGAATTGAACACCTACTTGGATTCCAATGAAGCTGGGCGAGGTTTAGGTTTTTTTTGAAAAATAGCCACCATCACTTTACTAGACATCTCCATTCGTATATCCATTAATATCCATCATTTTGTTCATCAAGATCCATCAATCTTCATCAATACCCAGCAATATCCATCAATATTCATCAATATCCATTAATGTCCATTACTAATTACTATCCATTAATATCCATTGATCTGGACTATTACCTCGGCAACCATTACTGGGATTAGTTGGGTATTAAC